AAAAAAAAAAAGCAACAGCCCTGGCTGTCTTGTGACGCTGGGTCCGAATCCCCTAGCGGCTATCGTCATTTCTGAGCTCGTGGACTGAAAACAACCCGCCGCTAACGAATGTAGAATGGAGTTTACTATGCTCTACGTTCTGATACATAGACCATTTCAAGTATCGTGATCTATAACTAGATCTATACTATGTGGTCGGCAAGGTGGTGGGTAGGCAGGGACGCAAATTCCGGCTTCGAAATAGGCACTTTCAGATCTACTTTACACCGTCCTACTGCACCGGGGCATGACTGTGGAAGGGCGCTAAAGGGGCTGCGGGTATCGGTGAGTGCTTTTCGCTTTGGCCATCAGCAACCAATCGCCATATCCAACGGTACTTATATATATAATGTTCAAATCATGTGCTTAATAGAGTGAGCTATCGACTACCTAGGCGCATCAAATCCGGCTGAGTGGTTGGTGGACAACGCTTGTTGACTATTTTTATTGCTGGCATCATTCGCGCCGCGCCTTATGTGCCTCCGCAGTGCTTTGATACTGCAAACATCAATGACATTACTAGGCCCCCTCTTTATCCATCAGCAGCCCGGAAGCAGGACTCTTCCATTTGTCCTCTTCCTCGATCACCGAGTGGTTCCATTCATTCCTTTGCTGTGCTTGAAGTAAGCTAATGAACGTCTATGTATCAATGTTGACGCAGGTCTTACCGTCATACTCGCTTGTAGTGAACAGAGTCTCAGAGGACTCCATGTTTTCGCAAGGGGCTCTCGTATACCGCCTTGGAGTCAATGCCCACCTCCTTCAACAATCAAATCTGTGCACAGAGTCCTAAATAGGCAACTCACTTCACGAGAATATCGTGGGAAAGTAGACTGAAGAATCCGTATCTCCCCGTGATGAGAGCGAACGACAGTAATATGCACCACCACAAGGCCCAGCCTTCTAGCTATCTTAGATAGAAGTTTTAGCATCACGTAAGAAGGTGGCCGCAGTTTGGATAACGCGTCGCTCAGAGAGACCGGCCTATATCAGACTGATATTTGCGTGATAATTCTACCAGAGGGGTTGGGAAGCCACAGTGAAATATGGAACACCTGTTTCTCTAGCGCTACATGACAATATTATGGTTCGCAAAAGGTTCAACATAATTCACTGTGTCACTTATGCTCGAAGAACTTCTGACCAATCCAAAAAGGTGACTCGAACTGTTGAACAGAGGAAAAGACAAGCACGTTGGATATATGAAATCAGTAACCACGAGTGAGTTAAGTTGGGATTTGTAAAAGGATTATTGTGTCAAAAGGACGGGGTCTTCTCGGTGTTTGGAAGCCGTAGACGTTTCTCTCCGTATGGCCAAGAGAAGATCTTTAGCTGAGAACATATGAATCGTGGGCAACTACTATTATGGGCACTATATTTTTAGGTCCCCTGCAATTCGTGAGAGAGTTGGTTGAAAAGGACAGCAGAGTCCATTTTATACATCATGTCTCGCGCAGGTAGTCTGGGGCGAATAGATATGGTTCAAAATGCGGACACATGCAAACGCTGAAACAGGTTCACGTTTTCACCGCATGACACAGTATGTATCCGGTCAGTGTAAACATCGTTGGATTACTGATTTGGACAATACTCTGGAATTGCGCTGGCACCGACTCCACAGCACATCGTCGGGACAGAGATTCCCTAGAGCCAAGTTCCATCGGTAGGAGGACACGTACTCGTTCACCATCTTTGAAAGCATAGTATATGCTGAACCCGCCTTTGATAAACGCAGGATTGGCTTCCCACTCCAAAAAAAAGTGCAGACACCGGACCGCTCTATTGCAATCGATACTCTACGGACCTCGCCCGTTGATCGGATGTCACGATCCCCATTGGAAAAAAAGGGATAAAACTTGTCTTCGACGACACAATGGGATGGCAGGAGCAGAAGTACGCAAGTATGCTGGCCAGATCTGGAGCTCCCATTTTGTGACTTCGATTTTAACAGGTATTCAGATCTCTCTAACCAGTGTAGCTACCTATCCGACTCGGACCCAAACTGTGGATGTTAGTCAGGGAAGCCAGCAACCTATGCAGCAAAATCCCAATGACATAAATATCAGTAGCTAACTAACTCAGTATTCCTCCGATACTGTCTCTACTGCTGCAGAAGATACAGAAAGTGAAGAGATTAGTGTCCAAACACCAGATCCGGCAGTTCCCAACCTACCAGAGAGCAGTACCATAGTCAAGTCGCTCCATACCTCAGTTGAAGACATTGAGCAAACCAAAAGCCAAATATCAATACCCTTATTGACGGACGGCAAACAGGGAGAAACACCGAGCCTTGAAAACGATATATCCCGAGTGACGTCGGGGCAATCCATCGATAGTACAGATGGAGAAAGCGGCGTCACAGCAACGAGACCACCACAGATCCTTCAAGGAGCTTCGACGGCTGACATGGTGGGGCTCTCGGAAAGCTCAGGTGTCTATACCGTCACAACCGAATATCGGAGCCCTGCAAACCCAGAATCCATGGTCACCCTCCTCAAAAGCACTACGGCTGACTCGGGAACACGTTTGACGTCTGAAAGCATCTTGGATCAAGTTGGCATTATCTTCCCCAGTTCAATGAGTTCACTACTACAGGAGGTATCCACCATGGGTCTTGGCGTGAGACTAGTACCAGGTCATGAAATCAGTCTCTTTTGTGAAGGTATAGGTCATTGTGAGTCCTCAGTAATAGAGGGCCAAAAAGGAGCTAGTGATTACATGGTCTGACTCTGAATAACTATGTGCTTTTATCTGTGGTTCCGTCAATAGCCCCAGCAAAATCCTTCAAAAATCTCCAAGTGCCCTCCGCCTTATATCCCTTGACATCCCAATCGGTAATCTTCCTTGGGAAGAAAGGAAGGACCTCCAGGAGACTTGCATCATGGGCAGTGACAACCATGACGCTAGCTGAGCCATCGAACTGTAGCAATTTCTCAAGAGCGATCTCAGCATCTTCCAGATTTTCGTTCATTGCGGCGTTCAAATTGTAGAAGGGAGTGACTCTGACGTCTGAGCCTCTTAAATTTGCCGAAGAAATTGCTTCAAAAACGGAGCCGGGACACGCAGAATTTGAGGAAATTTTTCTTTCGAGTGGCGACGGCCTAATCTTGATTGGAAGGGGGAGGTGTTTGGTTGGTCGGTACTCCCCCGGGTGATGAGCGATATCACCACCAAGGAAGATGAAGCGGTCCTTAGAGGTACGTGCCAGAGCGCTGATATGGTTATGTGCTGGGGTTTGAAACTGTTAGCAACTTAGCGCCCAGGAAAGAAGTGTCAGGTGCCGTCAGCACAGGCTACAGATACTCACTATGCCCGTTTGATTTGAGCAGATACAGGCTTCCATCTTGGAAGAAGTCGATGGCCAAGAAGTCCCCAATAGCCATAGAACCGGAGAAATCCAGCTCGACCAAGCTACGGCCGATGAAAGCGTCTTCAGTCACCAGCGCATCAGGATTTGCCGGATAACCCGGAAACGTCGTGTTGTTGTGCTTGAAGCCGGGTCCAACGACTAAGTTCGTGGATGGAGGGAAGAGTGATGGATCTCCTGTATGGTCCATATGGTGGTGTGACCAGATAATAGCGTTGATCGACTCTAAAGGGACATTCGCGTTGCGAAGTTGGCAAGCAACATCTTGCTTAATTTCCACATATGCCTTGGCAGATTCGATCTGCTGGAGGACTTTTGGTTCGATCAACGTCAGCATCCGTAGTGGGTTAACATGAGCTGTACGGGTGAATAGCCCAGTACACATTCTAGATAGGGATCTCGCTTACTAGGGAGCGGCAGTTTCTCCTTCCAATCTTTTCTCAGTCCAAGGTCAAAGAGGACCCTTTTGTTCAGCCCCTTGTTCTCGATTAGGAAGCTGTAGCAAGGCATGTCAAGCACATCATGCCCAGAAATTGGCATTTGAACCACGTAGGCTGTGGGTACAATCGTTCGTCCCGCATGGATTATCGACACATCCACAGTTGAGCCCATATTCTCCGGCAGTGTTAATGGTGCCATTGTTTTCCTCCAAGTTAAGAATATAAGTATATAGGAGTTGCAGTGGATTGTAAAAGACTCCGAAAGTGCCACTCGGTAACAGCTGGTCATGTTCTTAGGAGAACCAGAAAGATTATATACCATTTTCAATGCAGGGTTACAGGAGAAATCTGGCTAAAGGTGCTCTGAGAAATGGACTCGTCAATGGAGTAGAGATGATTATTCATCGTGCACCGCAGAACCTGTAAGAGATTTCAAATCAAGTTGGATCCGATAGATGAGGGTGATTGATGATTACAAATGTGGAACTGGAGCATATCCACTGATTTGAATACAGCAGTCTATTTTACCTTTTGTTCTCATAGTCCGGCAGCAGCGGGCGTTGATGCAGCTGGATGTGACGCCACTCGACACGTAGAAAATAGGATACTTGCTCTATTCTGAGCCTGCGCTGTACGTGGAGGATCCAGAAATGTGCTGAGCTAGTTTCAGCTATAGACGTTCCGGCAGAAGAAACGTGTGGATATCATTATACAACACATCCTGGAATTTGTATGTGGAGCATGCACACGGTACTTATCCTCAAATCTAGCCGATTCGTGCAACGTGAGAAACTATGCTTTGTCTATCTGTCCGCCATTTTGATTCCACTTCTGGGATTTATCCGATAGCAATCAGAAGATGAGGACAGAATTTGGTGATCATCATGCTTGTTTTTGGTCAAAAACTCCAAATTATCTGATTAGTAGTTTCTTGGGTGACAGCAAACATATATTTGCGCTACTTGTTATGCGCAATGAAATTGTCATAAGTAGTCATTTTTATTAAACTCCACTTACGGCTGCCAAGACATGAACCATTGCTGAGCCTCCCGTACTATTATGGTGCTCGAAGAGAAACTACCTAAGTATTGGCGTTGGACTACCTCAGTACGCGAGGCGTCAGGAGTTAGTCGTTGGCATTAGCTCCGCGGAGGTGCGTAGGTGCGGCTGTAGGTGCGGGTGCGGAGTGGGTATTATAGGTTCGTCCTGTCAGGTTCGTCCTATCTCCTTGGTATGGTTCAACCATTTGTTAAGCACAATGGTGGGATTCCACCAGATCCGGGCCGCCTGTTTTATTGATCAGCTCCCATGCATTTAATCGGTAAAACCTCTGCGTCCATTCCTGCCAGCCTGTTTACTGGTAAAATGAGACTCATGCGACTGTGACGGCATCGCAAGAAATTTATAAACGGTTTGAGTAGAGCCAAACATTGACGCGGGCTGATTCATTTTGTCCCATCATCTGATTGATCCTAACTACAACTCAATACTTTCGCACCTCTACCCATGAACTCTTCAACAACGGTTCTTTTTATTCCTGGTGCGTGGCACAGCCCTGAATGTTTCGACAAAGTGATTCAACGGCTGGAAGCCGATGGTTACATCACGGATGTCGTTCACTTGCCCTCTGTGGGCGCTATTGAACCTCATTCCGATTTCTCCAAAGATGTACTACAGATCAGAAAACAGATCGAGATTGCTGTGAATGCTGAGCAAAGAGTCGTGGTCGTGTCGCACTCATATGGTGGCCTCCCAGGTTGTGAGGCGGTTTGCGGATTAGACTGGGCAACTCGACAGCGCCAGAATAAACCAGGGGGTGTTGTTCATCTTTTCTTTTGCTGTTCGTTTATCGTTCCGGAGGGAAAATCTTTGATTAGTTCTTTTGGCGGTGATGACCTCCCTTGGTTCCAAGTCTCGGACGATCGTTTGGTTGTGACGCCGGCTAAACCCAGAGAAACATTCTACAACGACATGGACGAACTTGATGCAAAAGCGGCTGCCGGAGCTTTGAAACCGCACAGCTACCAGACATTTCATAGCAACATCACCTTCGCAGCTTGGAGGCATGTTCCTTCCACGTACCTCTATTGTCTCAGGGATGAGGCTATCCCACTTGCAGTACAGAAAATGATGGTGCAGGAGGTCGCTAAAGGGGTTGAGATTCACACTCAAGTTGTGGATGCATCTCACAGTCCTTTTTATTCAGCGCCAGACCAAGTGGCAGCTGCCATCAAAGCCGCCAGTCTGCAATCCTGAAATATGTTGTGAAGCTCCGTTGACTATAATCCGAGATGCTTGGAAAATGTCTATCTCTAATGGAATTGGAATATGAAGTGCATCGCGGTTCAACAAGGCTTGATGCCGTAGTACCTAGTCGCAACTAGAAAAATATTATGCAGCTTCCCTCTCGCTTGTTATAACAAGTTCTACATCCCTTTCCTTTTGGATGGGCCAGGGGATTCGTCTTCTATAACTATCTTCAGCGACGGGCTTGATGCCGGTTGGATGACACCCCTCACGGGGAGTCTCTGGGTCCTCAATACAGATCTAGTCTGCATTCCACAACACCACAATTTAAATCCACACACTTTCTGCGGACTGCCATGCGGGCGCTACTAAGAACACCCGCAGTCAGTGCAGGTTGACATTCCGACACCCAACTGACAGATTCAGCGCTACCTGCAATTGGACCGTGCGTACGAGCGCTACCGCAGTAATCCAACTGTCATATTGAGGGATGTACTATAATATTTAGGAATTAAGTTTCATGTAGGAATGCAGCTGTTTGTTGGTAAAGCTGATAGACTTTAGCCAAGAGACAGGGATCATGAAGTAATGACTCACGGTGTGAAATCCGTTATCAATGAGCGGCCTCCCTCCGTCATCCTACACATAATCCATTCCTACTTCAGCCTGGAAACCATTCATCATGTCATTTTCACTGCAAGAAATCGCGGCCAACGCCGTTCAAGCCCGGAGTCGCATTCGCCAACACATCTACCAAACCCCTCTCATACCAGCTAGACGAATCGGCCATGATCACGACGCAAAGGTGCTGTTTAAAGCAGAGAATTTCCAACTCACTGGGTCTTTCAAAATACGAGGGGCACTTGCTAAACTGTCATCCCCATCAGCGCAAGGACGCCTGGTCACAGCATCGTCAGGTAATCACGGCATCGGTGCCAGTTTTGCCGCGAAGGTGCTCGCTAAGAACCTTACGGTCGTCCTTCCCACCACCGTGGTGCAGGCGAAATTGGAGAAAATCAAGTCATTCGGCGTTGAGGTGATCCTCCACGGCGTGGAGACTGGCCAGGCTGAACAACATGCGCAGCAGCTCGCGTCTTCGGGATCCTACACTTATATCTCGCCTTACAACGACGCTGACCTTATTGCTGGACAAGGAACCATCGGACTCGATATTCTCGAGCAGGTCGAAGAGGTTGACAATGTCTTCATTTCCATGGGTGGTGGTGGGCTCCTCAGCGGCGTCGGATCCGTTCTCAAAGCGTTTCGTCCCCAGACAAAGATATATGGAGTCTCCGCCAAAAATTCCAAGGCATTGGCAGTCTCTATAATGGCTGGCCATGTTGTTGAAACAGATCATCTTCCTACCCTGGCCGAAGCTGTGGCCGGCGGCATTGATGAAGACACAATAACGCTTTCTCTGGCAAGCGCGGTCGTGGACTATATTATCGAGTGCGATGAAGCAGAGATCTTGAGATCGCTGAAGGCACTCGCCGCTCAAGAGAATATGATTGCCGAGGGCTCCGCGGCCCTTGCTCTTGCTGGATTCAATAAAGTCGCCGAGAAACTGACCGGCCAAACTAGCGTCATCCTCCTATGTGGTGGCAACGTTGATCATGATTTCATCCAGGAGGTATTATGTAGGTAGCTTTTGAGACGACAAAGACCAGAAAGTGATAAACAAGAAGGATCTCTTCATCCCTCCCGTTTGACTTTATATCAATAGTGCCTCCTAGAACAGATTCTGAAAGGACCAACAGAATATCCCAGCTCAACCTCATTTACTCCAGTGTACATTTCCCTGCGATATGATATGCACCAATCAGAAAGTTATACGCATAGCAAAAGCTAGAGTGCCCTTTTTTTGCACATGGTAGGCCGGATGTGGTGGTAGACCACTGGGCTGGTGCAAAAGGCAGAACAGGCTGTCGATTAGAGGGAACAACCAGCGGCGCCATCGGTGGTAAGTGTTTCACCGCAGCAGTAGTGACGGTGACCGGGCGACCTCAATATTCAAGCACTGGTCATTTGTGATCCAAAAGGTGGCATTGATACTGCCGTTGTCGCAGATGAAAGACCGCGATCCGTCGCTCTTGCCAATTGCTTCGACACAGTCACCACCAACGGCGTCCCGCATGATGCAGCGGCCTCGACCATCGCCGACATCGAATTGCGCTTTGTGCGCGGGAGGATGAGCTTGCGTGATTATCATTCAAGCTGAGGTCAACGCTTGAGTTAGTTCATGACTGGAGGAAGAGGGCATGACTCCCTAGCGGGCTGCTCCATATTGCGTGGTAGGACAAGCTAATAGGGTGGATTGATTCTAAACTCCTTGGAGGCGATTTGTGTAGCACGGCGAAGCCGGTATTCACTCTAATAGGCGAAATTCGTTTTCAATGGGGTTTGTCAACTCATAGCATGAGAACTGATGCGGGTGCGGGTGCGGGTGCGGGTGCGAGTGCGGGTTACGGGTGCGGATACAGTGAGATCAGACTGTTGCTCAGCGACACTCCCGGCAGCGTAAATGTCCCCCCCTGTGTCACATAGTCTAGGGGAATAGGGATAGTTTCCGCATGAGCCGATCCTTTCGTCTCGGTCAGCCCGCTCATTTCCTTTCTTATCTCCGGTCAGCCCACAGCGGCATGAGGGAGGCGTATTGTTATCACTGCGAGAATGGACAAACAACGAGTAGAGGGATGTGGCGCTGGTGTCCATGGTGCTGAGGCTCGATCTAGCTGGCACCGGATTTTTCGGATCACACATTCCAGCGCCTTATAAACCTGTTGTGAAGCAGGACAGTCCGGTCCATCCAGTAAATTGAAGGAAGAACTCATAGGCCCAGTACGAACAAGTTCCGGCCGGTATGTCAACTCACAAAGCTCTCGTGATTCACGCCCGGGACAAGCCACTCGTCCTTGAGACTGTCCCACGCCCTGTCGCATCCACTGGTGACGCAATTGTTCGCATCCTCGCTGCCGATATCGTTCCCTACATGGGAGATGTGATTAGCAACAAACGCCCTTACCCGCTCTCTCTGCCTATGACGCCGGGGAACACCGCTATTGGCCGCATACACGAAGTCGGACCTGATGCCGTGGACCTCACCCCAGGCCAACTCGTCTTCTGCGACATCACCATTCGCGCCCGCGATAACCCAACCGTCTCGATTCTTTACGGTATACACGGAGGTGGGTATCCCGCAGCACAAAAACTCATGGACGGCGTCTGGCGTAACGCGACGTACGCCGAATACGCGCGGTTCCCGTTGGAGAATTTATACCGTCTGAACGAGGCGTCTCTCCTGGGGACACTGGGATACAACATCAACGACCTGTGTCTCTTGCCTGTGTGCCTTGTTCCATTTGGTGGTCTTTCAGAGGTCAGCTTGAAGCCCGGCGAGGTGGTGATCGTGGCCCCTGCAACGGGGCGGTACGGAGGCGCCGCCGTGAGCATTGCACTGGCAATGGGCGGGACGGTGATTGCTGCCGGGCGAAATGTGGCGGCGTTAAAGAGACTTGAGGGAATCCATGCCACAAGGCGACTCAGGACTATCCAGATCACCGGCGATGCGGCCGCTGATACAGAGTTGTTCCGTGCAGCAGTTGGGAAGGCGGATGGGGCAGATGTATACCTCGACCTGTCCCCACCAGCAGCTCAGGGATCGTCGCTGCTGGCATCGGGCATTCGAGCATTACGTGCCTTTGGTCGATGTGTAGTTATGGGAGGCAATTCGGGGAATATCGACTTCCCTTACCTTGAGATCATGTTCAAGAGTATTCGGGTTCAGGGGCGGTTTATGTACGATCGCCAGCATGTGCTGCAAATGATCCAGATGGTCGAATCGGGATTGCTTCCTCTCGGCAACAAGTCTGGTGTCACTCAGACGGAGGTATATAGGCTTGAGCAGATCCAAGAGGCATTGGAAGCGGCTGGTAAGCTGAGCGGTTGGGGTGGGCATGTGGTGCTCAGGCCATAGTCCATGCAAATCTGTTTTCGGTCATTGGCTTCATAATGTACACAACTTTTAGATACCCGTATCACCGGGTATACATCTTGTCAATTGAGAAAATCCCCATAGGGTCTAGGATTGTCGCCTAGAATGCCTGTACAACAGCCCTGGAAGGCGGCCAGAAATAGGTACGAAAATTAAAGGATCTACAGGCCAATTATAGCCGTGGATTGAAAAAAAAAATAAAAGTAGATATACGAAGATGTGATTGAAAGAGCATAATGAACTTTCTAGTGAGCTGGACATATACCACATGAGAGTCTCTTCCTCAGCGTCACCGGATCATACATCTATATATAACACTCGGACAAACATGATCCTACCAACTAGGGCCTGGTAATCAATCGACCGGTTGCGCCACACACCGCACCCGCAGTTTCACCTGCGGACACGCCCGCAGGTGGAACTACTGCGGGTGCGGACCTCCGGGTCAAAAAGTGGCGTATATATGACTCCGACTTAGGACCAAGAGTATCCTAATACGCGGTCTAAGCATTATTATAAGACAGCTGGACAGCTGGACACAACGCAACACTAAACTTCTCCCCTCCTTACCACAGCGCGCGCGGCTGTCGAGCAATGGGTGATACTTTGCATGATCCTATCCCCGACCTCACAGGGAAAGTAGCCATCGTAACGGGTGGACATACGGGACTGTACGTCAACCTCCTTATCTATCAATTGATGGAGGATTTTCTCACCCTACCCGGGACGAACTTCTCATTTTTTTAAATCTATAACAGGGGCTTCGGCACCAGCATTGAGCTTGCGAAACATGGTGCCCGGGTGTATATTGCTTCTCGGTCCGCGGCCAAGTTCAATGATGCAGAGCGTGAAATCCGTTTGGAGTGCCCGGAAGCACAAGTGCGCTTTATATTACTGGACTTGGCGGATTTAAGCAGTGTCCAGGCGGCGGCGGAGAGGTTTTCTCAGTGAGTTGCACGAGAGATGTCAGCCAAGCGTGAAAGGTTATGCCTGATAGTGTGTGGTTGTAGGCAGGAGTCAAGTCTCCATGTACTTGTGAATAATGCTGGGGTGCGTAGGGCGCCCTTCCCTCCTCGGGCAGCACTTACTCGCTCCAGATCATGTGCATTCCTTACGAGGAGACGAAGCAGGGATTTGAGTTGCAAATAGGGGTAGGTCGACCCGCATGCAATGGTTTTCTTTTCCTTGCGGCTGTTATCGCTAAGAAGAAGAAGGTAAATTACATCGGTCATTTCCTGTTCACGGAATTGCTCATCCCGATACTCCAGAGGACCGCAGAGAGAGCCGAGAGGGGAAGCGTGCGTGTTGTGAACGTATCTAGCGATGGACACGCCAAACTCGCCCCAAAGGAGGGCATAATATTCTCAGATATGAACATGAAGGATGGTTTCTCTGTCTGGGCCCGCTACGGCCACTCCAAACTTGCCAACGTACTGCATTCGAAAGCATTGGCAAAGAGGTTTCCGAGCATTCTCTCGCTGTCCTTGCACCCGGGAACGGTAAAGACGTATGCTGCCGTTTCCTTTCCTGTCCAGCGATTCACAAGCACGAATCTCACGATTCTCAGGAACCTGTCCGCAGGGCCGATCTCGTCAACTCCGCTCTATCGGCTGATAAAGCCGCTTGTCGAGCTGGGCGCGCCTGGCCCACGAAAGGGGGCAGCAAATATCCTGTTTGCTGCTGTGTCGTCAAGGCTACGGTTGGAAAGCGACAATGGAGCATACTTGCTGCCGATTGGAAGAGTGTCGGCGCCCAGTAAAGCGGCATCGGATCTCGAGATGGCGGAGGAGCTCTGGAAGTGGACAACGAAGACCCTCAGAAGCCGCGGATATTGAAGAGGCGAGATTGCCTCACAAGCTTCATTCACTTATCAATCCTTACCAGCCTTCTCCCTATATAGTGAGCGAGTTATCATGCCCACTAAGTTTCTTGAGTAATCGGAAATACCTCCACCCCTGGCGTAACAGAGTCAAGTTTTCGTCATCGATGGCCGTCAATATCGTCCCTGCTTGGCTGATGAAGGCAGCGCGAGCATCTTGATGTCCTGACGCAGCTGCGCCGGTAAACGTTATCCACGTAAATATTTCAGGGGCGTTGCGGATCCAGTACAACGGCTCTATGTGGGATAGGTGCTCCAGAAGTCGCTGAACTTCATGACTCTCAGTCGACTCGGCGCTTTGTTGGAAGCGCGATTGTGGTTGAAGCATTGCCCAGAATAATCGGCTGGTGATCTGGCAGCATACATCAAGTCTGTCAGGCGAAGTAAAAGGGAGGTTATTTTCGACTCTGTCAGCCCCAGTGGCGGTCGTTGCAAAGGAGACAGCACGCTCGATTTCGGCAACGATCCTACAGCGGTCTTCGTCGACCAGATGATCCAGCCGTGATATAGCCTCATACACGTCCAATATGGCATCTGCAGTTTCTTTCTGCAACAGCGATTCGGCATGCCCAAATATTATCCTCGACACTACACTTCGGAGGAGGGTGTTCGGGCGAACTGATTCAGAGAATAAGCAGTCCCAGATAGGGAGTACGTCATAAATGCAGGCGAACGAAATCATGGCGCTAAAGCGATGAGTAGCAGACCGAATGGCTGAGGGGTGGGATGGCCACGTACACCTTGACTATGGCAATCAGGGGTCCTATGTCGGCTCGGAAAGATTGCGGCGTCGCAAGGAGCATTTTCTCCAGGCCTTTCTGGTGCACCACCGCAGAGTCTCGATCAAGTGCGACCATCTACAAGCCGTCAGAGATATTCACTCGCGTTGGGGTTCCTCCAGGACGTGCACTGACATTGTAATATAACAAGGGTATTACTGCCCCTAGGGTGCCGTAATTTAAAGCTGGCTCTGTTTGTGCTAGCCGCTCATTGACCAAGCGGATAGCCCAGGTTTGGTGGTACAGCGTCTGTGGGGTATTCTGCTGGCCTTTCAGCATGTTAATAGATGCGGATGCACTGAAAAGTGTGGCATGGAAAAGACAGGGATCGGACATAGCGTGGTGCAGCCATTCCGAACGAAGATGGTGGGCCAAACTGTAGGGCACCACTGTATCAGAGGGTAACGCTATTGACGAGAGAACTTTCGGGTAATTGATGGTTAGCATCTTAAGATGAGGGGCCTGTGTCATGACGCACAGAATTGTATGAGGTGCGACATGTAGGTCCGATACCGAATGGGAGGCTCGAACGCCACTCGCACTTCTGTCTGCGCCAATGGAGCAGGATGCATCCTTCGTTGGACTCCATAGGTATCTGCTTCACGATCACTAGGGACAATGTCTGGATGCTCCGGACTCGACGCTGGGTATGTACAACTGATTCCCATTCTAGAAGCCATCTGTGTCAGCTATAACCCACGGCCCAATCATCGCCATCCTCGTGGCCGGTTCGCTCAGTTTTCCGAGCATTCTCTAGATACCTTAGACAGCGGGAACACCGTGGAAAGGTGCGATCACATCTACGTTTATGCTCCTTGCACCGTATACATGCATTGGGCCGCGCCCTATCCAGCAATGGTCTCGATGGGAAACGCCGGGCCTCAGGTTCCGGTTGCACGGCGGCGGGGTATTCACACGGCCTGTCTAGTCTGCACGATACGTTGTGTTCAGTCTCCAGGGTATATATACCCCACTCGGTTTTCCCCTATGGTCGTGTTGATCGGAGGTCAAACGTACTTCTTGCATCGTGAACATATCGGAAGCCGCTTATCACATTGTCGCTTGCCCGCTCGGCAGGTCAGACAGACCAGGGCAGCTCGATCCTGCCCTTGTACTGCTGCCTTGTCTCGACCATATGACGACATGATAACTACCAGCAATTTCAATAGACCCTGGTCAGACAGATAGCTTGGTGGAAATGCTCCTCCCCGACGGAACCCGAGGAACAAGGAGATCGGCGATCGCCAAAAGCTGTACGTCACATGATGCTCCCCACCCACTTCAGGGCTAGGGCATGACTTACTGTACTCCGTATAGGTATTATTGCTCTCTACCGCCCACGTTCCCAGTAGTTCAATGCGGTGATCAGTGCGGTAGTACGTACGAGGAGGTGTGGTGCAGGTTATGCCTCTCTCACCTTCTCACCTCATTCTTAAACATTCGGTGGGCCCCAACCTCCGAAATATCTCTAAGTGCCGGGGCCCTTCCCATCCGGATCGGTCTTAAGCAGTTCAAGGCTATTTAACTCCGAGGTACATCAGCCTACACTGGAAGCGCCATACCGTCAGCCCTCAAGTCACTTCCCGCCTCGAGCACTGATCGGGAATCCTCGCCACGAAACGCCCGTATAATCTGCCCTCTCCCGAAGATCTCCCTGTCCCACCCGCAAACAATCTCCGCTAGATGACCCCGTCCGCGTAGCTCCTCTACAGCTCCCAAGTCCACACCTTCCTCGACGTACACTGTCCTTTCGCTGGCGCTTTCGATGTGTTGATGTCCCATCGACCCAATGCACACTCTCGGTGCATCGAGTGCCTGCTGCGGGTTCATCCCGAAAAGAAGCATATTCATCAGCAGCTGCACATGCCCCTGCGGCTGCATGAACCCACCCATGATCCCGAATACGGTATTCAACGACCCGTCCTTCGGATTCGTAGCCATCGCAGGAATAATCGTATGGTATGGTCGCTTACATGGCGCCAGAGAGTTCGGATGGCCAGGCGTCAGAGAGAAATTGGCACCGCGGCTCTGCAGCGAGAAGCCACACCCGCGTGGAACGATCCCGGTTCCGAAGCCGTGGTAGTTGCTGTTGACGACAGAGGCAGCATTGCCGTACCGGTCGACGAGGGCGAAATAAACAGTGTCGCATGAGTGCAAGGCGGGGCTGCCATGGGACATGAGTGTGGAGGCCATGGTTGAATTGAAGAGGCGTGCCCTTTCTTTTATGTATGGAGTTGATAGGAGATCGGGAATCTCCGAGTGGATGGGATCGCTGATCCACCAGGAGGCGTCTGCGAAGGCAATGCGGAAGACTTCAACCAGGGTATGTATGTAGTCGGCGGAATTGTGTCGGAGGCTGAGCAAGGGACGGATTTTCCCGGCCCGTTCCAATTCCTCGAGCAATCTGAGTGCCATGAGTGCAATGAGACCTTGCCCGTTCGGAGGATGCTCCCAGACATCGACCGTGTTCTTGAACCGAACACTGAGTGGACTGGTTATTCTGTCTCCCCTGTCCACATGATAAGAGAGGTCGGCGTGGGTAAGGAATCCACCGCGCTCTTTGACCGCTTCCACCATGGCATCTGCGACATGACCTCTGTAGAACCCATCTTTTCCCTTCACGGCGAGGGTACGGAAGGTCTGCGCAAGGTCGGGGTTGGTCATGATTTCGCCCGCTACAGGCGCACGAGCCGCTTGGTCCGGTCCAGCAGCGGTCTTCAGCAGTGCGCAATAATTGGGAGACGCCTCTCTCAGCGAGTTCTCATTTTCTTGCCACTGGGACTTGTCAGCCTGCCTTCAGAGAAAAGTCAATCGTAAAAGATACCAAACGTGCCGATACCTCCGACACAGGAAACCCATCTTCAGCAAGTGAAATTGCCGGCTTCAAGATCTGCCCAAGCGACAGGTTCCTGCTTCCAAATCTTTCAATAGTATCCACCCACCCACCGGCTGCCCCTGGTGTCGTGATTGCCAGAACACTGTTGAGTGGGATCCTCCCGGGCTCGCGCGGTGGAATTGCCAATAGTCTTCGAGCTGTATCGAGGGTCAGACTCATGGGAGCACGCCCAGACCCGTTGATCCCATGCACTTTCCTTGTCCCACTATCGTAGAAGAGACAAAACATATCACCACCGATACCAGTTGATCCGGGCTCAGTCACATTCAGCGCAGCGGCTGGAAGGAGGCTTATCAGCGAACCTCAAGTCGCTGCCCAGCAAGGCGCGCAACATACCTATTGCGACAGCAGCATCCTTCAAGCTTTAGTGAATATACCTGCCAGCACCAATGAGAAACGCTTACTGCTGCATTTCCCCCTTTTTCTAAGATGCCTTGACCAGCCTTTGCAGCAAGGGGCTGTGAGCAGGCTATCATACCCGTAGTACTATAAATTGCACTTCGGCGCCCGAGGAACGGGGTGAATGGGCTCTGTTGGAAAGGAAAAGTCATGTTCGCTGCGGCGGGAAAGAGAACAGGACGTATGCCAAATACAACTGACAGCTTCGGCGTCCATTTATTTGTCACATTGAGGGCTGCAAGGCGGATATTCGCACTCCGAAAGGTTAGCCAATGACCAGTGAGTGACACGCTTCCCGGAGTTGACACAGTTCTCCCCGACTAGAGTAACCCGCGGGCACTCAGCTCACGAATTAGCAATTGAGGACTAAGGCCAGCAGCAGAGCAGCAGATTAATTCGCACTTCTCACAGCGTGGAAACTGATTGGTAATCAAAATGAAACAAAATGGAGTACATCGTCCTGCTCCTTCGGTAGACCGAGACACATCCCAGTACATCTGCATATCCGAGAGAATCTTCTGACGCAAACCGTCTAAGCAATGAAGCTAAGGTAATTTACTCTTTTTAGTCTTAGAGTACCTTGTTTTGCGTACGATCCCTCGTTTCTTTCGGTTGCTGGGAGGTTTGATGACGAGGACGGGCTTAGGATTTAAGAAACAAGGTCGGAATTAAGCTAAAGGCCGTTCTCAACACCCCGTAGAGCCATATAAATTCTCCTTATGAGAGGACTGAAACGCATTTGGACCATCAATATCCACAGATCAGCCAACCATTGTGATTTGTTCTTGGATATATCCTCCCGCTGGTATGGAATCCTCGTCCGTTATTCTCGTGTCGGGTGCAAATGGGTTCCTTGGGACATGGATAGTACGACAGTTGCTTGAGAAAGGCTACTCTGTTCGGGCAGCTGTAAGGACCATGGAAAGGGGTACACACCTGCGAGAGCTATTCCAGTCCCACGGAGAACGTCTTGAGATCTTTGCTGTTGGAGACTTGACAGAGGTGAGCTCACCATGCCCATCCAGTTCGGCCAGTACTTTTGTTTTACGCAAAATGTAGGTAAATGCCTTTTCCGAGGCTGTTAAGGATGTCGATGGCATAATTCACACTGCATCTCCCGTGACTATTGTGGCGGATGATCCGGAAGGTAACGGGCGCCCCTTTTTCCATTCAGCACGGATTTGGAATACTGATCAGATATACAAACAGAGCTAATCCGACCAGCGGTAAAGGGAGTCACCGGGATTCTTGAGAGCGCTCGAGATCATGGGTAAATGGGCCCAATGCTCACTCGCTACATTGAATTGCTGACTTGCCAGAACGCGAGTGCGGCGCATTGTGATTACGTCTTCCTGTGCTGCTGTGTTAGACACGGCCTATCAGGCAGTGACGGTCTCCGAGGACAACTGGAACGATCAGCGGGTGAAAGAGTGTCAAACACTTGGCCACCACGCCACAGGTTTATCCAAGTACTCTGCTTCTAAGACCCTGTCGGAGCAAGGTACGTCGTTGTGATCCTGCGGTCTGCAATTAGCTAAGCCTGCCATGCCAGCTGCCTGGAAGTTCATCGAGGATAACCAAGAACATATTGCGTGGGATTTGACAACAATTGTCCCGCCATACATCTTTGGGGTTTGAAGTTCTCCATCATGACCCTCGCAGCAAGAGTTAACTCTAGGCAGCCGATTATACACGACGTAAGGAACCCTGATTCGCTCAACTCCTCGTCCAAGCTATTCTACAACGCAGTCGTCCACAATGACTTTGCCGGTGTTTCGCCTGATAAAGAGCCGAGCCATGGCTGGGTCGACGTCCGTGACGTGGCAGGTGCACACATCAGAGCATTAGAGACGCCTAGTGCTGGAGGGCACAGGATCATTGTCTCAGGTGGCTCTTGGGTCTGGCAAGATTTTAGTGAGCGAATTTTACGACGCTTATTTACCCTTAGCTTCGCTGACATGACACTAGTCAATACTGCACTGACCCTCCCGAAGTCTATTTACATACCTCATCCCGCAGTGACGGGTCCAGGTGAAGTGAAGGAGCGCCTTATCACGTTCCGTACTGAGAAGCAAGAGCGGATCCTAAACCTGAAGTTGCGATCGATGGAGGAGACGGTCCGTGATATCCTCGTTGACTATGCGAAGCGCGGCTGGTATCCTTGTGTAAATTAGACAGGTCATGGAGCAGTGGCGGCCTGACTTAGGAAAAGGATCAATTCGGAATGTGAAAAAAAAAAGGGGCGCCTGCCGCTGATTAGCTATGCTGAAGAGTTTAGGAAAGATGTGTTCATTTTGCAAGCTCGATATGGTGTAACTATCGGGTCTGTATAGACCCACTAACGTTGACCGGAGAAGAAAAGGCGAACTCCGACTCTCTTTAGCCGCGGAGCCAAAGATTTAGATATTCCGCCCTACTACCTGACTCCACTACAAGTGGGCGTCCGCACCCGCACCCGCACCACATCTTTAGTAAATAATGCGCAACGGCGTATGCATCTGTGGAAATGTATTGCACAAGCGTCATTTTATCTCAGGCGGGGGCATGTCCGGACCAGAATCGGAATCCCTGTGCCCTAACCTCCCCCCCCCCCCCCGGGGGGCTTACGTCCAGTGCTTGCCCCATCCATGATCACCTCACTGCCAGCCTTTGGCGCTCGAGACTTCAACGTCCATCAAGAAGCTGCAAGATTTGATGCGTGGAGCAGGGGAAATGCGACAAACATCATTGGCAACCATGCCCATACATGACTTACCAAACAGCTGTATTCCCCTACAGACTAGGTATGGTGCTAGGTTGAATTGCTCATGTGATCCGGTTGTTATGACCTACTAGTACACGCAGACACGTTGACACAATGACGCTACACTGTAACTAATGAGCGATAAGACCTGTTGCGCCTGCCACTCCAGAATTATCAACATAGTTCGTTTCAACTTTTGCCGCCGCTGGGGCAACAGGCAACGCCATCAAAGGTGGCAAACATGGTGCAGGCTTCATCTGCGAGCTAGTCAATTCTCAAGAGACGCATAAGTTGTTTCATATGCGAACATTGATGGGAGACTAACTGAAATAGAGAAAGCCGGCATTTTATGTTTCATTCGTCGATTTGTTCAAATCCGAATGAAGGGTCCGCACGATTTCAATTTCCACATTTTACGTCGGTCACTGAGGGATGCTCCAGCCAGATGTTGCTAGATAGTAAGTTCGACTGTGAAGCCCCTCTGAAGACATTAGTTGAGAAAATTATTGTTGTTGTCGGGGAATTCCCTCCGCGTCCGGTCTAGGCCAGTTGCGAAGCTTGGAATTCTAATCCATATCTGCTGTGGGGCTTGCAAGTGGATGTAAGCTACTGTATCTGGTTCACGTAGAGTAGTTACTGAGCCGCAACTGACAGTCGATGAGATGAGGCAGGCGGGCGAGAAAGCCATCTATGTAGGCCACGCACACACGATACCAAGTGACAGCAAAGTGCTTTCCCCGATTAGGTTGGCTATGCTGGATGCAGTAATTCGCTGTCACCGCAGAATACGCTGAAGTCTACGCTCTTGCCTCAAAATATACCACCCAGACGTCTGTGTCCTCTTCCAGGCAGGATTCAGCAGCCATACCATAGAGCTAGCTCAGCGAATACACCAATGCGCGTGTGTGGCTTCCGCTTCTTGTCATCAAAAGTGAGGAAAGGTGGAAGTTCGAATGTGTTATATAGCAAGAGCTCACGATGAGTAAGCGTGGAGGGAGACCCTTGAGATTGGAAACTTCTTCTCCTCGGGAATGGGCCCAGAAAAGAGTTTCACAGAGTATATTGGTCAAGGCGATTTCGAGGATGACTGTAGTAGTGATTGTATGAGTATCACAGGGCTTTGTCAAATTCGCTGGTGATCGTGTGCCACTTTGCGGTTGCTCAACTCGTCTGAACTGGGCTATAGGAGGACCAGATTTTGATGAATTTGGAATTGAGTTTCGTGCTGCGTTTATACAACTATACGGGCGCATAGCTCCTTCATCCCCCTTTCTGGGCTGAAAATGGACCACAATTGCTTGAAACACGTGAAGTCTAGTCAGTTTTGGAGTACGTCAATACAGACTCTGCTGTTGAAGCTGTCAAATTTCCCCTCGGGATAATCCTCAAATTCAAACAAATCAACATACAGCTCTGACAATGCCTTTAGTGATGAATGGCTTGCAAGTCCAAGGTTGTGAAATAGCTCCGGCTCCAGGGGCTCGAATCGACTGTCGATGTCAAGGACTTTTGGCGATGGAGGTAGCAAAGGACACCGAGGGAGAGAGCTTTGTGTGACATGGAGCTTTTCCAAACTCAGAAAATTCTCCAAGGATTCAATTTTTGGGACTTGATCAAAGTTCTGATCTCGCCTCTCAAAGGACAGCCAAGGTGGAGTTGTTTGAGACTGTCCTGATGCAATGAAAGTGCGCGCATAATGGTTGCAGGATCTCAGCCCCCGTCGTAGAAACTTGGCGATTCATCATATCTAAACGTTTCAAGGCATTTGCAGTTCCGAATTAAGCGTGCCAGAGTAGAGTTGCGCAAAATACTGGCCTCGATCTCAATGTGACGGACTGAAAGTCCTCCACTGATTTGAACTTCAGATGGAATGCTATTGTGATCCCAATCCTTGCAGTTTGCGAGCGAAATGTATGATAACTGCCTGAGCCTAAAGATAGGGCACCAACATTGTAAGCTACTAAGATCAGTCGAACCAGCCATCCGCAAGTCGCAAATCCGGAGTTGACCTAAAAAAAGTTATTGTCCTTTAGAAGATTGTCGAGGAATTCTGTGAATCGTCGATAGCTAGGTACCACAAGGCAGCGGAGATTGGGGGTTTGCTCGAGAAGGACCTTGAAGATGATACCTGTGCAGCCGTCAGTAGGTCCCACATGAAAGTTACCCGGAATGGCGCACATATGCAGAGTAAGTTCGTCAAGACTGGATAGAGCAGGCTCCATCGGATGGTCTTCGGCAGTGATCTGCATGCGTGGCGGTGGATGCGTATCCAGAGACTTTCTGGAAGCCGAAATAGCACCATAACTGACTGTGTAAGGGCTTGTAGAAGCAGGTATGAGTAGAAGTAGCTAGAGGCCTTCGGCAGGTTGTCGGCTAATATTTGCGGGACCGACTGGACGTTCTGAACAATATCTGGGACCATGGTCGTAACGCTGGACGAGACTGACACTACCAGAAACACCTGCACGTATAGGAAAAAGAAATAATGTCTCTGGATAAGTACCTCCGTGTGCGACGGTTGGAAGACGGCGACTCGCTTGATCATCCAGCATACAATGAGCGGGAAACAACACATGAGCATTGACAACGCTATCTGTGGCAATAAACCTTGTATGACGGCCATCTGTTCGTCAGACAACATGTTTAATCGTGAGGTAACTGGCTCGAGGTACACCAACTGTGACAGAAGCCCGCTCAAGGATGTTGGTATGCCCCAGAATATCGACAACGCGTCCAGCAGGATCCGGAAAATAGCATCCTTGATGGGAGTGAGGCGCAAGGTGTCTCCCGCGTACATCCTTCCTGATAGCTCTTTACTATCGAAAGGCTGCGCGTTCAACAGAAAAGGGTCAGCAGAGCTTTTGGTCTGCAGCACAAGATGCGCGGTGAAAAGGTCCGAAAAGTCTAACAATGCCACATCTGTCGCGCTATTGACCTCTCTTCGTAAGCGGTAACTGTGCCACTTACTGGACACCTTCTCCCCTACGCTAGCCACGGCTTCTGGAACTGCTGGATGAAACGTGCTCCGCCTCTTCCTGGAAGAGGGAGCTCGTTGTCTCGAACTTGTGGCTTCGGAAAGCTCGCGAAGCTCGGTCTTCTTGATCTCACAGGACTCCATCCTTGGGCGAATGATCTGGATTGGACCATTGTTGTATAAGGAATAGATACTCTTCAGTGTCCCATTCGCCATCTCTGGCGAAATCCCCGTTGTTATTAGCGTGGTGACCCTCTTAGCCTGCTGAGGGTTGTGGAGATAGGCCTGTTTGATTCTCACGGTTGCCCGAACTTCGCCCAAGATGAGATGGCATATGTGAATGTTGCTGAGAATAGCAACTAAAACAATCACCCAGCACCGAGAATTTTCTGACTTTTGCACGCTAGAGATCCCAAATTGATCCAGGCCGGAATTCCGGCCGTCGAAACTCGCGGTGTAATAGACCGGAACCAAGACTGGCACTGCGAGGAGGCTCAGAGGCACTAGGAGCTTGAGAGCCAGGGTAAGGAATCGCAGGAAAAGGTAGCTGTCCACTCCGTGATTCTCGATCATTCCTTCCTTCCTGGTTGCCAAGTATCCTCCGCAGTTGGCCAACCCACGCAACCCTTCCCGCATGCAGTCGTTCCAGGTCTCTGCCTTCGTCACATCTTGGCTGGCTACAGGGTTGCCCCTATCGTTAATCTGGACGCTTCACCATGTAGTCTGTGTTGTAACGTACAATATGTTTGTGTACTTGTCTTTGAGGAATGTAAAGATATACACTGCGATGAACAAGAGACATCCATATATGGCCAACGAGACGAGGAACGGTTTAGCAGCCAGTTTATCGCTTCTTTGGGGCCTTCCAGTCACATTGCTGAGTGCTGAGTCCAGCAGTGCAGAGTCCATTCCCCATGTCTGAGAAGTGAAGGATAGCAGGCGCTAGGTTCCCACAATGGAGAAGGAGAAGTTTATACGAATTATATCGTCGGCTTCGGAACTTTGACTCCTCCCTCAAAAGTCTTCCCCGGATGGTATGTAAAGCACTTTTCAATGGGCCCACCACATTGTGAATTCAAGGGGAGCCTCAGAATGGAGGTAGCCGATATAAGGCACCCCTTGGAGGAGGTACTGAAGATCTATTGATGAACAGTATAAATGGATCGACATTGAGTGATGCCGGTCCTACAGAAGGGGGCCAAGATCTCCAAGCAAAGAGACAACCCGTGCCGTGCGACATAAATCGCAGAATATCGCTGTTCTGGTTCTCGTCCGATCACACGTAGAAGGCCGTCTAGCATGTTTCAGCTACGCAAATTTGCGGTGATTGGTTGGTTGGCTTTTGTGGTAAACTGTGGCAGCTTTGGGATCCAGGGCAGTCTTGACTTTCATGGAGCTTTAATAGACAGTGTCAAGGAAGAGACACCATCAGCCACAACTGTAACCGTGATGAATAGGATGTCAGAGTCCACGAGTGCCCCAATTCAGACATCGACGACTAGCTCCGAACGGATATGCACGAAGTCTATTGCCATGCTGACCCTGTTCACTCCAAGTTCCGCTGTTCACTTGCCATGCAGTGTAAGAAGCACCCCGATATCCAACGGGCAACCGCACCAGGAATCGGCATTCAAATCAATCAAAACCCCTTACTTCCAGCAAAACAAGACTACGTACTCCCGTTCCCGCATCGAGGACGCCCGTCTCATCCAAGTTTCCTTCGAGGTCTGGGTCACCCCACTTGTCATCGACTGTGCCTATGATATTGTCAGAGAGGTGATTCCTCTGCCCCTAGAAGACCATATACGCCCTCAAGAATCAACCCAAGTCGACCTTGCCGTTGAACCCAGCGGTGTCTCGCGAGTTAGACACGTCTGTGAGTTAGTTGAATGTCAGAGGTGGGATGACGATGACCCCTTAATCTGGATGCAACAGGACAACGATGCTCGTGGAAAGAGAATCCGTGCTTGTACTCACGCCTTACAGCAATACATAAAGGCTCGTCGGTCTGCCGTGACCGACGATTGTTGTAAGATGGACGTGGTTACTTTTCAATAGTAGAACGGTTGTAAGCAATGTCATCGTCCAATTATGATGATATCTGGAAACTAAGATCAACAACATTGGGTAACTATTTCGAGGGTCACCAACTCTTTGTGGTGGCGTTGACTGGCTTGGCGGAAGCAGCTTTATTTGGCTAAATTTTCTGGGCAGTCGCGGCGGAGTACGTCTGTTCCAGGCGGTCAGTGATGAACCTTGCCTGAGCGATCCGAGAGCAATCAGCACACGCACCGGGCGTGCTCATGCCACGATCCATGCCGATCCCAGAGCGAAAAGCGGCGCTGACCTAAACCTATTCTGGAAATGGAAAGTCGATGTCGTTCCGCAGAAATCATGTTCAATAGTCTGGCAGTCTACGTAAGTGGTGATGAGAAGTCATCATATCCTTATCTACTCTCCTACTTTACTAGTGAGTAGGTTACAGCCATGAAGTAAGTGATTCTGATGGTGTGAAGTGAGTAAGGTGAGTGAGTGATCCTTCGTGGGCGAGGGATTAAGTTGGACGTGCTGGGACCATACATTTACTTTACTAGTTAACTGTACTAGCTAGTTAAGGGTTGTCTGTCAGGAGGTAGAACCACTAGTACTTACCTCCGCACTCTCTGACTGATCGACAATTGCCGCATACTTTGTAGGTAGTACTGGTAGTAGGAGAGGTATATACATGATGGTTCCCTGTTCTCACTTTGGTACATCACCCTACTTCATCTCTACAAAGTATACACTACTCTATACTAAAGAAGGGAGAGAAAATGCCATCAACAATAGCAATCGCCAAAAACTACTTGTGTTTCAAACTCCCCTTCTCAGAGTACTCGTTCTCGTTTCCTTCCGTTCCTTTTTCATGGCATACACATACACATACACATACCACTGCTACTATCTCAGAAGCAGACACAGACACAAGCACCATATCAGAAGAGAGTCCTCTCCTTCCTCACCAACAACAACAGAATACCCCCAAATCCCTCAAAGAAAAATACGGCACCTGCACCACCATCCTCCACTACGGCACATCCAGCTCCGTTCGTCTTTACACCAACACCACCACCAACACCACCAAGAAACAAAAAATAATCCATGTGATCAAAACCCTCCGCCCAACCCCCTCCTCCACAAAACAAACCCTAAAATCCACCCTCGAGTCCCTCCTCTCATCAACACTCTACCATCCACATCTCCTGCACACAATCGACATCATCCCCAACTCCCGTGGAGAAACATGTCTGGTAAGTGAGTACTGCGAATTAGGTGATCTCGGGACGTATATCTCCTCCTCTACTTCCCATGGGGATAGTGTTATGCCAGTGAGAGAAGCAGATAAGATTCTGTATCAGATAATGAGCGCAGTGGAGTTCTTGCATGAGATGGGGGTGGTTCATGGGTGTGTTTGCGTGGAGAATATTTTTCTCTCCCACTCTGACTATTCTGATGGGGTTTGTGTCAAGTTGGGGGATTTGGGGGATGCAAGGGTGTTGGATTCTGAGTATTCTCCTTCGTTTCGTGTTGATGGTGGTGATGGTGGTGGTGATGGGTACTACGCTGCATGGAAAGAAGATGTATATCCCCTTGTTAGGGGGTTATCGATGGGGATAGGGAAGTTTGAGGAGTTGGAGGGAAGATGTGAGAGGAGGAAGAGGATTAATCCTTATGCTGCGCCGGAGGTATTTCATCCTTCTTCTCCTTCTCCTCCCTACTCTTCGGCTTATCGTCGACGTGGGTATGAAACTTCCAGTGGGATAGTAGGGGATGATCCCCGGGCTGTGGATATCTGGGCTGTCGGGATTATATACCTTGTCCTGAGACTGGGGAGGATTCTCTGGCGGAGTGCGAGTGAGGAGGAGGATGGGCGGTATGCGGAGTATCTTGCTGGGAGGAAGAGGAGGGAGGGGTATGGGGTTATTGAGGGGTTGGGAGGGGTGAGATTATCCTTTCTTCATCATGTTCTTGTTGATGTCTGGGTATATGGCTAATGTGTGAGACAGGCCCAATGCAGAAACGTGGTATACGCGATGCTAAACCCCGATGCCAATCGACGGATCAAAGCATCTGAAGTGATGAGATCGGAGTGGATGTATAACCTTGATGTACATCAATAACATACATTCATCATATTCACAATCACACATAACAATACACTAAACCGTCCCAGCAGCCAACACATACCCCCCATCCACGACAACCGTCTGCCCATTCAAATACTGATTCGTACTAACAAACAACACCGCACTAGCCATATCCTCATCCTTGCCCGGTCTCGCCGCCGGCACCTTACCCTCATACTTCTCCTTCGCCAACTCACTCTTCTGCTTCTCATCGCTCTCCCCGGCCGTCATCTCACTCGGAAACACCCCGGGAGCAATATTATTCACCCTAATCCTCAACCCACTATCTGCCACCTCATGCGCCAGCATCTTCGTCAAATGAATCGCCGCCGCCTTACTAGCATTATACGCGAAATGATGCTGCGACACCTTCACAATCCCCGAGATACTGGTAATATTCACCACCGTACTACTCCACCCCTTCTCCCTCTCGGACCCCTTCTGCAACAGCGGCAAGAACGCCGTCGTGGTGAAATACAACTGCATGACATTCGTCCGGTAGGTATCTTCCCACTCGCTCATGGGGGTTGCATCATCGAACAGCGACTGCTTCAGTTCCGTGGCGTCGCTGGGTTCCGTGTTATCCGTGCTGCTGCTGATTCCGGCGTTGTTGATCAGGATGGAGAGGTGGGATTCGCGCGATTCTATCTCCTTCACTAGTTTGCTGATGGATTCTTTGGAGGTGATGTCTGACACGATTGGGATGATCTCCCCGCTTATGTTCTTGTTGTAGAGGCTTGCTACCCGGGAGAGTTTCTCTTCCGTTCGGCCGGTGATGTATACTTTTGCCCCGTTGGTTGCCAGTGCTTGGGTCGCCATTAGGCCGATGCCGGAGCCGCCGCCGGTGATTAGGGCAACTGGCAGTTTTGTTAGTATGCTGTTGTGGTGGAGATGTAGGAGGGGGGTATGTGGGGATGGGATGGATACCTTTGCCCTTCACGCCGAAGAGATTCTCCAGCTTAAAGTTCTCGTTGCTCGCAGAGGCCATTTTGTGTAGGTTGGATTTGGGTGTGGTGGGTGTGTGTGAGAAGTGGTGTTGTTGAGTTGTGGAGTACAGTGGTGTAGAGTTGAGATGTCTGCTTGAGGTATATATAGCTGGATGGATAGTATTACTGGTGTGGATTGCGTGGGAAGGACGTAGTAGAGCAGCACGAAGGAATTGACGCTGTAACATGGTGAAGTGGTGTCTAGTCTAGGGTTGAATCCGGTTTATATGTGCCATTGTGCATGGAGATAGTGATAGTAATGGTGATGGTGATGGGGTGGAGATCATCAGTATGACGTGAGTTGAGTATGAAGTAATGATGGTCCAGCCATGGTTGCAGCCGCAGTGGTCATAATGAGTTAACTGCCAACAATCCAAGGACTCAAACTAGGCTAATTGATTAATATTATATGTTACTGCAATTTATACTAATCAATAATGCTAAAAGTAGAAGGTGTGTATCTACAACTTCGCTTTAATTCCCTCCTCCGCCGGCACCACCTCCACCATCATCTTGCCCGTATTCACTCCATTATACAAATCGACCAGACTCTTCGGCGCCGACTCCAACCCCCCCTTGACAATATGCTCCTTGCGCTTGATCTTGCCCTGCGTCAACCACTTGGCCAGATCCTGCAACGCATCCGGGTACTGCTTGGCGTAGTCGAACACGATGTAGCCCTGCATTTTGACTCGTTGCGACTGTCACCGTTAGCATGATCCCACACAAATCATAGTAAATTGTGATGGAATGGGGCACTCACAATAACCTGCATAATATTGGCCGGCCCCTTCGGCTTCGCCACATTATACTGGCTAATCGCACCACAAATAACGAACCTAGCAAACTGCGCCGCCCGGCCCAAACACGCATCCAGAATCTCCCCACCCACATTATCAAAGTAAACATCAATATACTCCGGCGTAGCCTCCTTGAGCTGCTTCTTCCAATCCTCATCCTTATAATTAATCGCCACATCAAACCCCAACTCCCTCACCAAAAACTCACACTTATCCTTACTCCCCGCAATCCCAACCACCCTCTTCGCTCCTTGAATCTTCGCAATCTGTCCGGCCACCATGCCCGTTGCACCAGCCGCCCCAGACACAACCACCGTATCGCCAGCCTTCGGCTTCCCCACATCCATCATCCCGAAATACGCCGTCAGCCCAGTCATCCCCAGCACGGACATCGCATCCGTGGGCTTGCACCCCTCCGGCACGGAGATCTTCTGCGCCTCTTTGGCGCCTAGAACAGCATATTCCTGCCACCCGGAGTAGGCGATCACCCAGTCGCCGACTTGGTATTGGGATGTCAGACTGCTACCGACGGAGAGCACTTGCGCGATGCTTTGGCCGCGCATGATGCTGCCGATTTTCACGGGCGCAATGTACGACCGTTTGGCTGTGAGCCATTGGCGCATGGCGGGCTCGAGGGCGAGGTAGTGGATGCGTACGAGGACTTTGTCATCCGGGACATTGTTTCTGTCGTTGGTGATGGTGGTGGTCTTCAGGTTGAAGGTGCCGGTTGTGACGGATGGGTCGATGGCGGCTGTGGGGGCCTTGACGTAGATGAGTTGGCGGTTTGTGAGGGTCATATTGATGCCTGATTCAATGAATAGTAATTAACTGTATACAGTGAATAAAGGTAGTAGAATGAATAGTAGGTGAAAGGGGATCGGGCTGAAAGTCCATCTTTTTGCCGTTGACCCTGAGCCCGTCCTGAACCTCGGCTCGTTCGCTTCCACACTAGGCCTTCGCTCTGTTTGTAGTAACTCCTCCGGTGTCCCCGCGGCTGAGCTCTCTGGTCGGGGTTGGTTGGTGGTCCCTTGATGGGCTTCGGCTCGGAGTTATTGTGTTGGCTTTTTGATTAGTTGGTCTGGTCTACAATTTGTGATATTTCTTCTGCAGGGTATGGTTTTAGGGATTTCACAGTTAGTCTTTGGTTTCTGCATCTGCTGCATGTTTTTATGTCATGACATCATTGTTGTGTTCTGCAGGCTTATCGATAAGGTATCACGTGATAGTATATTGGTGGCATTGCATTGAAGTTGAATAGTATCATCAGCATCTCTTATCCAGTCATTGCATTCACTGTGACTGGTCTCATTTGCTCATGTTATTCACTGCAAAATGCACGTTCAACTATGACAGGGCAGTGATGCTGCGTCTGAACCATGGTATGTCCTGCCTGACGTCACCCGCTGATCGATGATGTCGAAGGCTTCAACCCTCTCCCTCGCCTCCTTATATAAGATGAAGACAGACAGTGGGGAATGAATACTACCTAACATCATCATCAACATATAACAAATCAAAACCTACTTATCAACATATCACCATGAGCAGCACTCAGCCTCCCTACTATTCTTCCACCTTCGGTGAACCCAACCAGAACCCCAGCGCAACTACTGCAACTGGGACTCAAGTTGGCAGCGGCATCACCAGCACCGGTCAAGCAAATACTGGCCCTGCGCGCACCACTGCCGGACCGCATCAATCTGATCTCGCCAACAAGGCCGATCCCCGCGTCGATAGCGATCTGAACAACCGCGCTCAGTACGCCCCTGGCGCGACAACCACCGGCAACGTACATCCCCAGGCCACCCAGAACTTATCGAACCCTCAAAGCTCCACCGCGGGCCCTCACAAGTCCTCCCTGCTCAATAAGCTCGACCCCCGCGTCAACAGCAAGACGGGCGAGATGTCTTCCAAGTCGACCAACGCAACCGGCTCTGGCGCCATGCGTGAGCCTACCGACACCACCGGCGGAGCCGCTTACCAGCAACCGAACCAAGCGGCTACTGCTGCCGGAGGCGCTGCCTCAAGCGCAGCTGGATACAACACGGCCCCGGTCTCGGGATCGCAAACCACCAGCGGAGTAGGATACCAACCGACGCAATCATCCGGGAGCACATATGGCACCCAATCCAAGTCGGCAGCTGCCGGGGAATCTGTTGGCGGCGGTGTGAAGTCGGCAGCTGCAGGAATCCATGTAAGTCCCGACCATCAGTTGAGTCTAGTCAGGCACTCATCCGTAGTGGCCGCGGGCTATCCGACACTAACGAGCGGCTGATGCTGACCTGAAACACAGGGAGCGGGGGAGTCATTGCGAGGCGGGCTCACAGCTGCGGTCGACAAGGCCTTTGGGCACGAAGAAGGGGCCGCCAAAAACTCGGCCATTGCTCAAGAAGGGGAGCGAGAGATTCAATCGGGAAATTTCAGCAGAACCCAGCGGTGATTTTGAACACCATGGTCTTTTGGCAATGGGATGAACCCCGCCTTTTTTGTTAATGAGATACGAATACGCCATATGCTAGTGCTTTTTTTAGTGTAAATTATGAATATGATGTGTACCATGACGCGGAGTTTCCCTTGTTGCGCAAAGGTCGGTTGGACCTAAAGACGGCTCTAAATTAGCACGTAACAACCCGGGTTGGATGAGTGGACGGATGCCATTTAGCGTCGGGATAGCCACATTCCGGCGTGCTGGCATGCGGAGGCTGGGAGGATACTTAATTGTGCTAATCTTTATTGTGGTTGAGATTCAAGCGAGGGACAGGTGGTAGGCCAATGATGGAGAGAGTAAACAACACAGTCCAGACTACTTTCTGACTGTACTTAGTAGATAGTAATAAGTAGTAGTGAATGAACAATTGTCTGTTGTGGTGTGGCAATAAACCCGCTGACTGTCAGCTGATTGGCGCCTGAGGTGCTCCATCTGGATCTTCTTCTTGATTTTCCCCTCAAATCATCTTCTCTCTCATTTGTTCTGTTGCTTCGGCTGCCCGCCAACCGAACCAAGCTACTTACTATGACGATATGCAGCTACTTTTACTCGGTTTGGCGATGTGATGCGATCGTTATGCTATTGCCTGGGGCATGATCTCATTGCAATATTATCGCCCAATGGTCTGATTGTGTGCAGTATCTACATGCGAGAATGCCATCTACGGAACTCGAGAATGAACCCATGGACCGTGTGGCTCTTCACGGATGCTCTCCGATGCCTCTCCACCCAATCTCTTGCTGAATCTCTCCCCTTCGTGAACTCACAGCCCTCCCAATGCTCTGCTGAAGCCCAAGCTGACCTCAGCTCCGTTCCGAGACAGCAAATCCTCCTGGTGATCAGCCACTGACTTAACCTCCAGCCAAGCATCCCACTAACGCTCAGCTATGCTGAACTATCCGGCACTATCCATGGTCGGATCCCAAGAATAACCCCGTCGCGCGAGTACAGCCTTTCCTAGTTTCACCTACACTATTGCTTGGAAGCTGGAAATAATCGTCGCGACTGACAGGAAGCTTCTTCCGGAACGCCCGGAGGCTGTGCGGTGGAACCTCTCTCTCTGACTTTTTTGGCCCTCTTGCTTAGTTTTTCCATTTTTCTCCTCTCCTGCTCGTCATGGTTTATTAATATTTCTTTTGCTTTTCTCCCTTCCTTCGATGGTACCTGTCCATTTCTTCTTATTATCATCTTGTCTTCCGTCCCACGCTCTCTCGCGTCCCCATTCTTGCCATGACTCCATGCGCTTGATTTGCTGATCGCCTCCAGCACGCTCCAGTCTCGCCCCTATGGAGCCACCCTAACGCGAATACGAATGCTCCATCGCAGACATTCAAACCGTTAGTTTAGTGCGCTACTCCATAGTAACCCATCCATCTATCCACTCTGACATGTGATGGATCCTAATTGAACTGCCCTCTCTAGTCTGTCTCAGCCTTTCTCTTCCCATCTATTCTTATCTTCCCTCATCACTCGATTTTTAAACTCTCTCTCCCTGCATGGGTCATACATAATCTCACCTCTTTCTCCCCTCTCCGCCCACCTTAACCATGGCGATTCCTGCACATCCGGCGGGGGCCAATGGTCAGGTCCCCGTCATTGCACACTCCTCGCCAGCTGCGGAGCCCTCGCCCACCTTCACCGTCAATTCGAGTTCCGACAGCGAGGATCCGAATCTCCCGGACGCCGTCCGCGAAGATGAAGCCAATGAAGTCGTCGGAGTTAGCATGAGTCGCGCCCAGAGCCGTATGAAGGCGCGCCTCACGCCTGCGGAAGAGAAAACCCGTATGATGGAACGGCAAAGTAGCTACTTCGATACAATTCCGGATACGCCGGAACCGGAGGGTCTTTTTGCATCTGAAATTACCGACGAACCAGAAGCTTTGCCTGAAGAACCGGCTGCTAAGCCGGGTGATGCTCAAGCCTCTTCAGCGGACTTGGCGGCGCCACAGCGTGACAGCGCCCGGGGATCCAAAGACGGTCAGCGAACCAGCTTCACCCGTTCGATCTTGAAATCCGGATTGCCCCTTCGACCCAGGGCATGGTCCGGCGACTCCTTGACCAATATACGCCTGAAGAAGTTCCTGCCAGATCTATTAACTAAACGATCATCGCTTTCCTTCCGACCCGGATCGTCATCGCAAGTCCGGGCTCGCAGTCAGACCCTGAAGCCCGTGTCAAAGCTGGCATTGGACCAGGAAAAAGACGAATCAGCGCTGCAGTCTCGGCGGAAATCGTTCTCCGATCCTGAATCCAGAGATAGCCCCGAGGAGCAAGTCTCTGAACTCGATCCTCTCGGGGGTGCCACGACCGCTAGACACTCTTATGCGCGAAGGCCCAGCACAACAGGCCGCCCACCTTCTCTCCTACGGAGATCATCTTCAGACCAGTCTTTATACCTGAGAGCTTCGTCAACCGCATCGTCGCTCGAACAGCGTCCCCGTTATGAGCATATCCATTCGCAAGTCAACAGCCGGTTCAAGGCGATCAAGGACAGCCTCCAGGATTCCAGCAGTCGGCTACTCAGTATGCCCACGCTGCACCTGCAAGACTTCCGAAGTGATTGGGGCTACAAGCCATTTCTGTCCGATGTCACTAATCGCAGGGGCCACACCTACGCCACGCCAGAGCAGCCGCCTGCTGCTCGGGAGATGCCGGGTGATGATTCGATCCCACCTCGGGCCCGTTCTCCACGGACCAGTATTAGTGCACAGTACCCCAATTTGACCGAGGCCATGGCCGAAATGACCGGTGATGTCGTGATCCTGGGAGGCTATCGAGGCTCAGTCTTGCGGTCCGCCAAACCGCCGCAACGCCAACTGTGGGTTCCGATGAAAGTCGGCCTGAATCTTCGCAAAGTGGATCTGGAGGTCGGCTTAAACCCGGAAGATGAGGAACGCATGGAAGAAACCATCATTCCATCCGGCGTGTTGTCCCATGTTGGCCCAGTCGACATCTGCCGCCGGCTGATGAAACGCCTTCAAAAATGCCCGAACGCCGTCAACGGGGATCTCCGCGTCCACGATTATGGCTACGACTGGCGGTTGAGTCCGCATTTACTTGCTAAGCGACTAGTCAAGTTTCTCGAAGGCTTGCCCTGTAACTCCCCAGACGTTCCCCGCGAAAAGCGCGGGGCCTATGTCATCGCCCATAGTCTGGGTGGCCTCATCACACGGCATGCCGTTAATCAGCGACCGGATCTCTTCGCAGGAGTCCTCTATGCCGGCGTCCCGCAGCACTGTGTCAATATCTTGGGCCCTCTCCGTAATGGAGATGATGTGCTGCTTAGTTCCCGCGTCCTTACAGCCCAGGTGAACTTCACCTTCCGTACCAGCTTCGCCCTCCTTCCAGAGGACGGACACTGCTTTATCAACAAGCGGACGAAGGAAGAGTACCGTGTGGACTTTTTCTCGGCCCAGGCATGGGACGACTACCGGCTCTCTCCTTGTATCAATCCGGCTCTTCCACTTCCAAACAGCAGAGGCTTCAAGGACAACCTGCCTCTTCTCGGAAAGCGCATCTCCACCGTCTTAGGCAGCAAGGATAGTCTATCCTCGACGGATGATGCCAATGGCGAGCAAGCATCACACAATCACACCCAGAACCCCAACGAAACAGCAAATCCCTCCAATGAGTCCACCGGAAAATATGCACCGGTCTCTGCCCCGAACCTGGAGAGCGCAGTAGGACCAACCCCCAATTTCAAAGGCTCAGCCAATACCAAGGCTACCACGACCACGACCATACCCCGTGCAACAGCCGTGACTTATCTAGAGCGCACCCTCGCAGAGGTTCTTCGGTTCAAGCAAGAGCTTGCATTCAACTCCTCGCATCAGTCTCAAAACAATTACCCACCCTTTGCCGTGCTATACGGCAAGTCCGTGCCCACCGTCTACGGCGCTCGCGTCGAATCGCGCGAGCGCATCCCATACCAAGACGCCTACGACGATCTGGCGTTCGCCGCCGGCGACGGCGTCTGTCTTGCCTCCGCGGCCATGCTGCCGCCGGGATACCGGATCATTAAGGGTGGATTGGTTAAGAGCGACCGTGGCCATGTCGGACTTCTAGGCGACCTAGAAGGCGTGGGTCAGTGTCTTCTGGCGTTAGTCAGAGGCCGACAAGAGGGTGTTGGACTGGGAGGTGATTCTTCCCAGCAACAATCATCATCTTCGTCATGATTCATCATCCTCAATCCTCTCACTTCTCTCTCCCCTCCCAACAAGACAACATGCATACATACATATGGTCATTGTTATTCCCGCCTATGCATACTAGAAACGATACCCCTATCATTATAAATATTGTTCGCACTGCATTATCCTGTTTATGACGACTATGAAATGAATAATGAAACAATATTCATATGGTATATACAAACAGTGTATTGATATGTCGGTGGTTTTGAAGCTGAAACAGCAACCCATTTATCATCACCATGTTCATACAATATCCATGACTAGATTTAGTCTGTATATTATATCATCTACAATTTAAAGAGCTGTTCTGTTCACGGCTATCTTCAATCGCTTTAGAAACGATATTCCTTTCTAATTTACCCTCTTCGAGTATAATGGTACTAGTACTAGTATTATACTATATATCGCCGGCTCACAGATAGTAATACTATGAGCATATGATTAGTAGTAGGTAGTAACACTACTCCCTAAGTAGTAGGAATGTCTGAATCTCAGTTGACAATTCAAGCTGAGTATAGTACTATCCAGCGCATACAGATCGTGAGTTTCCTTCAAGGAGATACTACTAGTAGTAAGTAATACATTGAACTTAGCACATCGAAACCTGCTAGTCCCAGGAGAGGTATGCAGGTATACCAGTCAATACTATGATCATCCTTAATAGTATCTGAGGATGAGTAGTATGGATCCTCGGAATCCTGCAGGATTGAATGTGCGGGGGTCTAGTTTCATCTGATAGGTTCTGTCCTTCTTCTTCTTCTTTCTCAGTTACCATCCATTTTCGAGGTCAACTACCTGGCACCAACCTACCCTCTCAAGATATCAACTTCGATAGATATATCCCCACACTGATCATACATCATACCCATGAAAAAAAAGACATCAACTCTAATCAATGAACCGTATCTCATGAACTCGATTATACCCGTCTGTCTAACCATCTAGAATGCCGATAATATTTTGATCATAAGAAGAAAAAGAAATATAATGCGAAAGAAGTGAAAAGCGCGCCCTATACATGACAAGAAGAGAAAAAAAAATAATTGCAAAACAACGAAAATTGACTTCAAGCTTAACCCGTTCTCGAGTTGGCGATGTTCAGGACCAGAATATCCGTTGCGCCAACCTTGGTCAGGTCGTCCATGACCGTCGCGATCTTCTTCTTCTCGACCATTGAGCTAACGGCAACCCAGCCGTCTTCTTCCAGGGCGGTCACCGTGGGTGCGCGCTTGCCGGGGGTGATCTTGGAGGCGGTGGCCAGTTCTCCGCGGGGGATGTTGTACTGGCACAGGACGTATTTTTGGGCGGCTGCAGAGGGGGGATGAGTCAATGGGGCTGGTCGAGTGATATAAAGAAGAAGATGGTAGAAAGGAACTTACTGATGACACCGCGGATACGAGAAGCGATCAGGTCAACCAGAGGGTTCTGGGTCTTCTTGGACTTGACCAGGACGGAGATGGTCTCGACGACGGTGTCGATGGCCTTGAGACCAGCGGCCTTCATGGTCTCACCGGACTCTGTAGACATTGGTTAGTTGCTGACTGGCATGATAATGCTACGAATGAGGATCATTGATCATACCAACAAGATCGACGATGCCGTCAGCAACACCCAGAGCGCAAGCAGCCTCAACACTGCCGCCGACGTACTTGATCTTAGTGCTGAGCTCGCTCTTGTCAGCATCGCTCTTGCCCTCGAGCTTGGCAAAGAACGCCTCGGTGAGAGCAGTGAAGCTGGTGACGATGTTGCGACCAATCAGCTGCTTGGCCTCAGTGATGTCGCCCTTCTCCGGGACCTGCACCTGGAGCTTGCAGCCGCCGAAGCCAAGGTCCATGACCTCCTCCACGTTGGAGACTTCGCCGCGGGGCAGCAGCGCATCGTGTTCGGCGATCTGGTCGCGACCGGTGATACCGAGATCAACACGGCCTTCACCGACGAACGTGGGGATATCTGCGGCGGGAAGGAAAATGAGGGCGATGGGAAGGTTCTTGACCAGAGCGATGTCCAGGCGGGTTTCGCGACGGAACTGGATGTCGCAGCCGGCCAGGAGGTCCAGCGTAGCTTGTTGAAGACGGCCCTCTGTTCACGGCAAGACAGGCGTTAGTCCGGTGCTTGGTTTAGGGGCCATTGGTGGGTTGGGCAATTTGGGGGTGCTTTGCGGTCAGGGAGTGAGTCATGGCGGGAACTTGCTTTTAGGGACAGCGAAGAGCAGTCTTCCTTCGAGGCTGTAGGGGATATGTTAGTAATTATATATGTATAGAGTGAATAGCATGCTGCGATCGTGGGGTTCAATGTTTGCTACGGGGCAATTGACTCACTGGTTGACGAGATCCATACTGACGATCAACGGCGCGGGGTAAACCGGCAAGGAATTGGAGATGACAGGGAAGAAATGAAAGGGAGTAATTGGAAAATCAAAGATAGATCCAAGATCCAAGAGACTGTCAAATATCCTAAGAAGGGTATTGCGAACAGAAAAACAAGAGTTAAGCAGAGGTAAGAGGGAGTGAAAGGAAGAGGGGGAAATAAGCAGCGTAGCGGAAGAGGAAGAAGATGCCGCAGAAAAGAGTCTGAAATCCCGTCATCGGAGGGGCCCGCATTGCACAGATACCTCAGGCCAGCAATTGATTCAGGGTTACTTGCTGCCTGACACTTCTGCCTCATATATCAGGCTAAAAGAGAAAGTCGATTACCTCATCACCGGCCTGACATTCCAGCTTTAGTTGACTGCCTGACGGCTCAGGCCACATTAGCCCTGAGCCCTCGCCTTTAGCCCAAAACAGAAACCCAACCCACACAAGCCGCAAATCCCTCGATTTTCACGAACGGCTTCAACTTCTGCCAACCCCCCCAAAACGCCATCTTCACGCATCCCGTCAGTCCTTCGCTGTCGTCAAGCCCAACTCCAAGATGGATTCCGCCAAGCAGCCCGCTAAGCTCGTCAAGGTCACCCGTGTCCTCGGCCGTACCGGTACGTCGTGAATTTCTCAATTTATCGAATTTCGATGCCTTTCGTCTGGGATATATACAAATTGCGGTGTTTCCGCGACGGCGTGTGGATGGCACATATGGCTTGAGAGAAGATTTTCTAATGAGCATTTCACTTTTATAGGATCCCGTGGTGGTGTCACCCAGGTCCGCGTCGAGTTCATGGACGACACTTCCCGCAGCATCATCCGTAACGTCAAGGGCCCAGGTATGCGATTTCTCCGTTGATTACAATTGATGATATATATACATTTCCTACGGCTATGGTGGTGGCGCTGGTTGGACCGAATCGAATTATTTCCCCACGAAGAGAAGAAGAATCCCGCGAGAAGAATGGCAAATAGTGAAAGAAAATGTGCGCACGCATCGGAAGTCAACAACACCCACGATTCTATCAGCGAACAGTACGAATCTCAGAATCCCAACACAACGCACGCAGGAACTGAAGAGGGGGAATAGAAGGACAAGCAGTATCGCGGGATAATCTCGACTCCACGGGGAAAGAAATATCGCATTCAGTCCATCCAGCCAACCAACCAGTCGCTCCGTCATCTCCAAACCAAACCCACATATGGCACACACCAAGCTAACCAAACCCCTCTTCGTCGCAAACAGTCAAGGTCGACGACATCCTCTGCCTGCTCGAGTCCGAACGCGAGGCCCGCCGTCTCCGTTAATTTCCTTTACCAACAACTCCGAGTTTTCGTCAACATCTTTTTCCCTCTCGAGGCTATGTACCCTTGCTTGCGTTGGAAATGATTATTCTGGGAGGTCTGGTCGGGAAGGCAAAAAAAGAAGAACTATCTTATCTTATGGGCTGATGCGGCATCCGGGTTGTTATGGCTTCGTTTGAGAAAAATTCTTTTATTGTTTTTTCTTCTTCTTATCATTCCTGTGTGTCCAGACTCATATTTCCTACTACTGGGCTTCATATAGAGCGAAAGTGAGAGAGAAACAAGAGAAGAAAAAAACGAGGCTATCAACCTGAAATACAAAAAACGAAGGAAAAAAATTTGAAATCCCACGGGCGCGAGGTGATCTTCTATTCATCAAGTCTCTGTCTAGATTACCCCCTTTTTTCTTCTTAATTTTTCTCCCTCGTGTTGTATGCACGATGCACTCGAATCGGATGGACCTTTGTGTGAACTTGCTCGGTTTGGATCTTAGGTGGTATTAGGGGAATATGGTCTGCGGGGACATTATACCTTGTGTCGGTGTCTCGTGAGTGAGTCCTGGCTTACGATTCATACGTCCATTCTGCCACTTACCCATCGTAGATATTACTGCCCTACATGTAGAAGATGAATGAAACAGCGTCGTGAAGACCCCGCTTATCACGAGTCATTTGAATCTTTCTCATAAATCTATGTCTAAAGCCTAACGCTTTTGATCATGCAACGCCGCCAATACGCTCATCTCGATAGAAAGCAATAACAACACATCAATATGCTTATTACAGCTGCTCGGCGCTGCTGATGAGGCGCTCAATCATATTCCCATCCTTGGTGCCTCCCATGACCTCTCCGACGACCGTCACAAGACCAGCCAGTTTCCGCCGGCGGATTTTCTCCTCCAATTCTTTACTCTTCTGCCGGGCTTGGTCCAGCAATGGCCCTGGCAGGTTTGCTAACCGCGCGACGTTCAGCCCGTAGCTGCGGTGTGCCACGCCCTCACCTACTTCGTAGAGGAATGTGATCTCTTCGTCTGTTCCGGTACCTGATTCGGTAAACCGCATGTGCACGTTGCGTAGTTCGTGGTCTGCCAAGGTATGGACCATTGAAGAGAGGTGTTGATAATGGGTGATGAAAAGCGTAAGGCTTCGAATCGACCGTACCATGTAGTCAAGCACAGCTTGTGCAATTGCAACACCATCATGCGTGGACGTGCCCCGGCCCAGTTCATCCAGAATGACAAGTGACCGTGGAGTCGCCTGCTTGAGAATGTCTGCGGTCTCGGAAAGCTCGACCATGAAGGTAGACTCGCCAGCTAGCATGTTGTCGAAAGCACCCATGCGTGTGAATACAGCGTCCAACATACCAAGCTTGGCCGACTGCGCGGGAACATAAGAACCTATTTGCCCCATGATGGCGATGAGCGCTACTTGTCGTACATAACTGGACTTTCCGCCCATGTTGGGTCCGGTGACCAGAAGAGCGCGTGTCTTGTCGCTGTCCAAGTCGATGTCGTTTGGCACATAACTGTCCAACAGTAACTGCTCGACCATTGGGTGACGTCCCTGCTCCACTTGGATGCACGTATGGTCCGTATATTCGGGCTTCACGTAACCCGGTTGACTAGCTATAGTCGCCAGAGCTATCAAGCAGTCAAGCGTGGCCAATGCCTGCACACTATCCCGGAAGGGCTGGTATTTAGTTGCTATATCAGCGAGAAGGGATATGAACGCCTTGTCACACGCCGCGGCCAACGCTTCTTTGTGCTGGTCACGCTGTCGCATGAGCTGAATGACTTCCGGCGTATGAAACCTTGATACTTTCTTGGTGCCGCTCACTTTCACCCATGATGCAGGCACACGTTTAATGGAAGCCGAGCTGTTCTCGACTTCAATCAAATAATCAATTCCCGCAACAGACTTGTATTCGACCGTCTTCTTCCCGAGCTTCTGGCCAGCAACAGAACGATGCTCCTCTAGCTCGTGTTCAACACTTGCAATGCCGAGCTTTTGGTCACTGATGTCTTCTGTCTCTTCGGTTTCGCGAAAGAAGGCATACTTATCATCCCTCTTCGCAGCATGCAAATTAATCTTGTCAAGAAAAGCTATAACGTCTTCCAGGATCGTCGGGAGACAAGTGATCGCTTCATTTATGGCAGCAGACGCAAAACCGGTATCCGCAGGTGACTTCACGTCCGAGAATTCCTGCGCAATCATTTGCATCGTCTGCAAAACGGTGAGGAGTTCCGGTCGAGTACACTGGTTGTTTTATTAGTCTTTATTCAAGTGATCAAAAATAGAGACGAAGAACCAACCTTGCCGTAATAAATCCGAATCAAGCTCTTTTCCAAGTCGCTCTTGACCTTTCCAAGCAACGCCTTGAGCCGCTCTACCATTACCGTCTTTTCTGGATTCTTCAGCTCTTCGACAGCGTTCACCCTCTCTTCCAGCTTCGACTTGTCTAGTAGAGGACGTCCAACCCATTTCCGAAGCATGCGCTGTCCAAATCGCGTTTGTGTCCGATCAAGCGTCCAAAAGAGACTGCCCTTAGTCGTATGGTCCGTTTGATTTTGGTAGATCTCGAGGCTCATCAGAGTGTTCCCATTCAGAAGCATGTGTGATCTGGAAGAAAAGTGTTGGAAGTATTTGGTCAACTCGAAAACATATTCCAAGCCGTATTCTTTCATGTGCTCAATCATAGACGAAAGGCAAATAGTCACTTGCTCTGGTAGATTGAGCACCTTCTGAAGGAGGCTACTCGCCTGTGCATCATCTGCGGCACTGGCCGTCTTCATCTTTCCTGCATAAAAGCTGGAGACATGGCTGTGTGACTCCGCGGCGGCAGTCTTCGACTTAGGCACTCTTTCCACGCGGGTCTTGTCCCCGAAGACGTTCAACTTGCTGCCGGAGAGATGCTGGACGAGCTTTTCCGTGGCCTTAGAAAGCTCGCCAACAATCAAAAGCTCGCAGGGTGCAATATGCAGCAACCTCGTTTCGATTTCACTCCTCATGAACCCGTCTTCGAAGTCGTCATAAACAATATCTCCTGTAGCCGGCTGAACAGCAACAATTCCCACTTGAACCTTCTCATCATTCCCCCAGCCCTTTGCATTTGTCTCGGTAATGCATAGCAAGTAGCCAGTTGCTGGTGAGGCGCCACCAGATGCCGCAGGCATAGGCCCTTCTAAGCCCTCCGCGTCGTCAATATAGGTACCCTTAGTGTACAAATTTGTGAGCTTGCGCACGAAGGGCGCATTGCGATTGTCACCCGCTGCTTTCAGAGCAGCAGTCTCGATTTGTCTCACGACGCCGACCTTATGACCCGCGGCAACGAGGCGCTTAACATGAACGTGTAATCTGTGAACCGGTATGCTAGCGGAGGCGAAACGATCGAGGTGTGCTTCAGAAGGGTCTAGATATGACAAGACCTACGTTAGGCACGATTCACCAATAAAGCAGGAGATGGAAAGGAGGCAACGGAACCATACTTACGTTCGTCAAATCTTAGTTTTCCAGGGATACAGACTATAGACAATTCCTTTGCGGCGACTCTCGCATCTTCACCAAAGAATCGAAACTTGTAGCCGACTTCAACTACTAGGACGGTATCCATATGCTTGCGCTTGATGTCGATGACCTGCTTCTCCATTGGAGTGAGCTTGCTTCCGCCTTTCTTTGCAGCAGCCTTGCCCTTGGCAGGAGGTGGTGCTGCTTCCTCCTCATCTTCGGCCTCAGCCCCCTCCTCGGGTGTAGCTTCGCTGATAGCATTTCTACCAATGCCAATGAGGCAGTCCGCACCACCCAATTTCCGAACGAACTTCTGGTGTAACGCTTCTCTCTCCTTCTGTCTTTGTCTAGCCTCAAGTTCACCAGCCGCCTGCGGCCCTTCCGCTCCAGTGTTCACCGCAGGTGAGCTGCTGAATCTGAATATCTCAGTCCTCTGGCTACTAGTCAACGTCGGTGGTCGCTCTGTAGTGGATGTTGACTTCGGAACCTCTTCTTTGCTTGCGGGGTGAAGGCCGTTTGTTCTAGCTCTTTTAGGGGCCGGTGCCACTATGTCATCCTCCTCATCATCGGTCAGGGCGGTATCTTTCTTTGGCGCTCGTTCCTGATTGTCCGCTTTCTCGGGGGTTGTGGCTGGGGTTTTTTCTTCAACGACATTGACTGGGGCAGGTTGAGCTGTTTGTGGTTTCTTCGTGAAGAAGCTCGCGAGGGTTGACTGCTTCCGCTTCACTCCCGGTGACGAAGAAGTCTGTGATGAGGGAAGAGGCATTTTATCTTTGTGGTCGAAATCACTGACAGTCGCCGAGGCAAATTATCTTAGCAACACCGAGGGGAAAGGGTTCGCGGTGGCGGTAGCGCCTGCTGGTCGCGCCCTAAAGTCCGATAACAGCCTAGGACCTTAGTATTCATATATAAGACATCAATCAAATCGTATTGGACGATATCCGGAGCCAAAGCATTCGCCTTAGCGTCAAATGCGTATCCGCGGGTCGGGAACCTTGACGCGTGGAGGAGCTCCGTCACGCCCGTCACGCGTAGTTCCCTTAATTTAATTGCACTTGAAGATGATATAATCTTTCTGCCTGAGGCAGAAGCAACCACAAAACTACTTAACTTCTATCTGGACGAGTATACACTTTCTCTCTCCTCGTCCCTCTGTCTTTCTCTTGGTGTAAGCATGATGCTGTTAGAGTTATTATACATGATAACATACTAGTATACAGTGTCAAGGGGTGTCGTCCGACAGTCAATGTATAGCGGCTACCATTGAGTTTGACCCCAATGCAGTACTAACCACCCAAGTATTCATACCACGTAACGGGAGTGCTTGTATATTAGGCAATGCGAAGCAAGCTACAAAGCCATGTCAGCTTTGGTTCCGAAGTCGACTAAAATTGTGCAGGTGCCATATAAAGATATAGTTTGACCCGCAGAAACCGAACTCAACTCAGGCCACACAGACGAGGACCAGAACTTAGAACGAGCTCCCGTCCAGGTAAAGTCGGCCAAACTCGCTTTCATCAACGTCCGAAATTGTGGACTCGGGTGAGCCAAGCTGTGTTTCATACTGGTTGTTCGATCTAAGTTCTGGTTTTGGAGTACACATTGGACCATCGTCAGCGGGCAACCCAGAGAGTGAAACGGCCAAAGGGTTGAACGAATATCCAGTGGGGCTTTCCTGGTTATCGAACGATCTGAAGCCAACTGGTCGAGAATCTCCAAAAAAGTACTGCGGTGGGTAACAGATTCCGCTGGTCAAATGCTCCGTGAGGGAAGGGGACTGCCAGTCCATCAGAGGATCAATGCGGCCACGAACATCCAGGAGTGGTTCAATGTTCTCCTTGCCCATGGTCAAATCATGCGCTCGTCCAGCCACTGCGATAGATTGGTCACCAGGTGATAGTGGATAAGCATCATGATGAAGTGTGAAATCCTTGAGGAGGTATAGAGGATGAGAGGGAGCCGACGCCACAGCATGAGTTCCATCGCCATGGTTATGATCCGTAGAACCAGCATTACACTGACTTGGTCTATCATGAAAGACGGTAAATCCAGTGCGAGGTTTTAGCTTTGTCCCTCTGAAGGATAATTCAAATTCGTCCATGTCATCCCCGGGACTGCCATATCGATGCAGCCGCTGAGGCCCTAGGGATCCCTTGGGGATTTGTGTATCTCTTCCTCTTGTATCTCTATCCACCAGTTTCTCAATGCGCTTGGTAATCCTTCTGGTTCGTTTCCTACTTTGCCCACGTTGGATATTAGGATCAACTTGGGAGAGAACTCTTTTGGGGCGATTTACTCGACGTTTGGGAACGGGCGTCTCCCCTTTGAGGGGGCTGCTATCCTCAACATTACCTGAGATCACACGCTGCTTCCGTAAAATTCCGGTAGGGGAAAAGACAAGCTCTGTTGGCTCCACACAAAGGGACGTCTTTTCCATGAGCTTCAAGATGCTTTCATCCTTCTTCTGATTGCGTCTGCGTCTCATCTGTTCGGTAGCCGAGTCAAATATATCCATTCCAGGCCACAGCACACCCTTCAGTCTGGCTATCTCATCTGCTCTTTCCTTCTCCATCTCATTGATGGTGGGAAAATAAATGCTGTCAGTTTCATTATCGTCAACAAATGGATCGCAGCTGTACTGGTCGGATGGCTGAGGAGCCACGTCTGCTTCGTTATCCGATGCCTTCGCCCAGTACAATGCGGTTTGCACCGGGACGTCCTCGTCCTCCGCCCTTTGCAGTGGTTCTTGCTTCCAGGGGCTGCAAAGAGCCTGTGATGTCTTTGTCGGTGAGGTTATTGGGGCCAGCGAGTGGTCTTCCAGTCCAGGGTAAGTATGCGTGAGATTATAAGACGGGTCACTAGAAGCAGCATTGGCTGAAGAGTATGGCGTGTTCGTGTCCTCAGTCTCAGGTTCCGCAATGACATACGAACGAGAGAGACGCGGGTCCAGATAATCAGGCAGTGGGTTCTGGAATGAAGGACTTGCAGTGGACACTGGCACTGTAGCATTATCAGTCTCGCTCTCCATATATGACTTCTCGTGTATCTTTTTCTTGCGGGCTTCTTTCGAGGACATCCGATCCGAAAGCAACTTGGCCAAGTTGTTTCTCTTATACCATCTGTCATATTCATGTAGCAAGGCTACTGCTTGCTGCTCTTGATGACTGCGTACTTGAAGTTTAAAATAATGGGACAAGTGAGCCTTTGACGAGATATGGGTAAGCAAGTGCGATACATCGCTGAATGTGGGCCGCTTTGGGCAGATATTGCACAAAAGTGCAGCTGCATCCATTTCGGAAAGTGGTGTAATAGGGACCGGCTCCTGATTTTGGAAAAGATATCGAAGGAAACAACAAGGAGGAGTTTCTATCAACAACAGATGTGATAAGCCGGCCTCGGAAGGAGAGGATGAGAAGCTTCAGAAGAAAATGCGTTACAGGAAGATGGGGGACCTGCCCGGCTGACTTTCTCACTGTTATTCCACAATTAGAGAAAGAGCTACCAAGACCAGCTTTCTCCAGGCAGGCAGGTATCAATACAGACAGGGTAGCAAATACAATAGGCCAATCGATTGATCATAGTTGACACTCATACTTACCAATTGCAAGACCTCTACTTGGGGGATCTCAATGGGCGACGCCAATACAAACTAAATGCAGTACTATGTAGTAGTTACTACAGTAGTTTCGTTTATGTGGGTAGGTGGAACACAATACTTCAGCATAGACACGGGAAACGTATCTATGTATGATACACAGTCCGATTATCAATCACACAATTCATCATTTCGGTGCAATCAATGTGAGAGGCATCACCGTAAGCCAATTTAGCACCCTATCTATATTCTATAAACTAGTACGTCTGAAGACTGGAATACCAGATGAGCCAACAACTACTAATTTACTAGTAGTAGAGTAGTAGTACCGTTTGTCGAACTACTATACACTACTAGTTACCAATACTACTGACACTATATATATATCTTGTCCGTTCTGGGGGCCCGAGTTTTACTACTGGGATTTTGAAAACGTGTTCTTAGTATATATATATAATCAACTAGCAGTAAGGAAAGGACCACGAATCGACCAACACGGTCTCAGTAAAGATAAACGTTAGCTACATGGCTAGTAGACGTTATGATGGCCATAGCCTTTGAGTAGTTGCAGACGAAACGGACGGCATGCGTTTAGTATCTGGCAATATAAAGAAGCATTGGGTGAGTTATGGCTACGATGCAGACACCAATGACTTTGAAACATTAAGTCAACTCCAAGGATACAACACATTTCATTCATCTTCCATGTTGATTAACTAGCTACTGTATATCTTGACTATAATTACGGTTCATGTGCCACTGTGTCTTAACAGCCTTTCCGTAAGGCTATTGTGAGGGGGTATGAAGCGGAAATAAGTCACAGTGCCAATCACTCTTCTCCTGCCTTGTATCCCATAATCCATGGTAAAAAAGAAAAACGGGTTATTAGATTGCAGGAGGTGAGGCCTACGTCAAGAAAAAGTACTCAAGAGGTGTGATGTCATCATACAGCCAAAGATTACCGTTGCAGATATTTCTGTGTAATTGCCTTCGGCATACAACTAAAAGAAAAGGTTAGCTATCCGCACTTTTGCATTGCACAGGTTGCATAACTCACTAGACTGGATCTACTTCTTGGATGCCATTGAACTTCAACAGACTCAAACCAGCGATGGCAAAGTGGGTGTGAAACACATCAACCATGCTGCCTGGTCTGTCTCCGATGCCCCCAGCCTCCGAATCCTGAACTGCGTCAGTGCCATGCCGGCAATGCCATGGCGAAAGGGATAACATACCTGACAGCGCAAGATGAAAGCAGAGAGCTTGCCACCATCGATCCAGTGGAGTTTGTCGATCATAGCCAAGCTCGCACCAACCCACCAGCTATAGCATGCATCGGGCAGTTTCTCAGGCCTTCCGTTCAGACCACCATTTTCAACCTGTCTTTCGCTGAGCCAGCCCCCAAGACGGTCCTTGTTTACCAAGTCCAGTCGTCCGGCGATTGCCAGAGCTCCTACGCAAGTGAAGATTTGACCGGCATGTGACTCAGCCCCAGGTTGGATGCCATAGCCACCGTCTAAGTTCTCACACTGCTGGACATAGGAAATGGCCTTGGGTACATCAACTGTGTGGAGAAGCCCAAGAAGGGAGAGTGCATTAAACGCGCCATACAAAAAGCGTGTATCTCTCTCACCCCATTCATCACCCATGAAAGCACCAGTGTCTTTGTCCTGTAGCCCTGCGATGAACGAGCCAACCTTCTCTTTTCCTCCTAGACCGCGCTTCTCCAGCTCATCCACTGCGTCTAGGGTTACGAGAATTTGCACTGCCGACACTGTGTACAGCATGTGTGCATCATGGCCCGGAGCTGCTCCAAAGCCTCCATTCTCCCGTTGACACGAGAGAACGAAGTCGATGGTATCTTCACGAGGAAGGACATCGGGGCGGCCAAGGAGATGTAGAGCTGTCAAGCCCCAATACACCCCATTCAGGCGAAGGTGTTCTGTAAGCCAATATTCTAGCTCATCCCTCCTCTAGCATCACCTGTCAACCACCTTCCCCATCATGAAGAGAAGAACCATGGTTATAGTAAGAATGACGCACGCTGTCCAAGTTCTTGATGTAATCCACATGTCTTTCGACACTAAGGTTCAAGCTGGATTCAGTCCCAGCAGCCCTACCAGGACCCGAAACTAAGGACATTTTTGTGATCGGATTGCTGGAAAGCAGTGTAATTAGTGGTTGAGCTTCGGACTAGTCAAGAGCTTCCTGCTCGCGCTAGAAAGGTAGCCTTATGCGCTGTCCCGACCAAGGCCACGAAGCTTGTGCCTGCCAACACAAGGGCGATCAAGGCGGAGAAGCAGGCTCGAAGCTTTGGGGGTGGCAAACACAGGGTCGTCAAGGGAGGCAACCGCTGCACGTGTCCCCCTCACTGCAGGTGAGGTTAGTATGAGGTGTCTTTGGAGGTTAGTTGTGGACGACTTGGGAAGCTGGGAGGAGGGAAAAAGCAAGCTTCGGGGAAAAAGTGTGTGTGTGTGTGGTGGAGGGCGGTTGGTGACGAGAGGGAGGGCTGACCATCACGTGATCAAGCGCCACCGGGAAAGCCGCTGGGCCAAAAAGCGGGGCCCATTGTTTCAGCCTGGCGTTTAGGGCAGGATCGCCGTCTCCCACGGACAGCGGTGTGAAACCCCTGAGCGCCAAAGACTGCTTGCCCCTGGGTCCCTGCTCGCTCTGAAATGTTCGGTGGCTGGCCCTTGTGCCGATGCCATGGAGGCCGGGCTCCCGCGTCCCACTCTGGTCTAAGTACAAAGTAAGTTGGTGGCAATGTCAATCAAATTTGTCAAATGCATGTAAGTCCAAGGTAGGCAGGTAGTATCGAAGGTTTCTTAGTACGGAGCGCAAGAGGGATCCTTGTGTGATGATGAGCACCAGGTGCAGAACTGCAGGTATGAATGGGGAATGTGGGTTCTGTCTTCTCTACTCCGATAGTACTAGCTAGGCATAATTACGTAGTGCCGGGCTATTGACTCGGTATGGCGTAGTAGTCATATGAGTCTTTCATTGTCCCACGTGTAAGTAGTATGCCGTCGACTAAACTAGATACTGCTATGTATATATTTTAGTAGAGTATCTAGCCTCCAGGCAGAAATTGCTAAACGGGGCAACGCCCATAACGGTTTCGCATAAGTGCCATGAGGTGCAGGACCCTCAGCAGTCCACATTTGATGATAAGTCCCATTTATCTTCTGTCAAAAGCAGCAGATTGTCCTGGAGTACTAAAGCGGTAGGGGGAGCACGCTACCTTTGCTAACCGGAAGGGTTGAGTTGATTACTCCACCACTGCAACGAAGCGCTAGACCACCAGAGGTGGGAAGCCGCGTGCTCTTTGTGGTGGCAGCGTATAATGCCCCGTGGAATTACCGGAATATACTTCACACATGGAAGCGCCCAAGTATGTTTTGTTTTCAGTCCAGCATTGCTTACAAAAAAGGAGCGCATTTTTCAAAATGACAGTTCCAGGGTTGTAAACCTGCTCCAGGGCTCTCTTGCTTTCTTTTTTCTTCCCCTTGTCTATATTTAGCCATCCGGAATGTACCGTACATAATAAGAGGCACAACCAGAAAGTGTAGACATTTGGTGCTATAAATGTCATTGGTAAAGCGGGGCAATAAGACAATGATAACCATTATTTATTCGTTCAACGGTGCCTAGGAAGCCAGTAGTACCTGGGTACGGGGTACACTATCCAGGCACCGACTACGCATTAATTCCTCTTTTTCCTATCATCCCCACTGACTGTATCAAATTTGTCTTGACTGAACCATGGTTGACCACCCATACAGCTTCAAGAATCAGACCACTGGCTGGAGGTTCAATATTTAGACATTATTTTTTTTTAAATCTATACAATCAGACATTTTGTGAACAAACAACACATTTTGTTTTTTTCTCCCTCACCATGAAGACTTCGGGAATAACCCACACAACAATGGCGGCCGTCTGCGGAGCCGACAGAATACTTTTAGTGCCATAAGACTCTTGGACTACTGCATACTAAGCAGCCAGATAAGGTGCCACTCAAATGCTGTGATGGGCCTCCGCGTCAGGTACTCGTGTCTCCCGGGTGCTTCTGATTTGGCCCTGCAACTGAAGCCCCGTCCACAGGACCTTGGTTGGCCAATCCACGGTTGCAATGGCTGTCTCTTAGACCGGGCATGCATCATCCCGCCCAAGGCACCAACTGCCAGACCCGATCTTTTCTGGCCAGTCATTGTCACCGCTTCGAGTGTTTGGATGGGTCCGTCCGATCTTTCGGTGTATATCCCAATGGCCTAGGAGGTGGCCATTGCAGCCCCGGGGTTGCCATCATCACAAGGGTTATTGCGCAGTAGCGTGTTCAGGGGCAACCAACCGACAGGCACGAAAGATAACTAACTATGTACACTTGGTGTAGTCTACCTACACAACGAAATTATTGAATCTTCCAAAAACTATTTTTCTCTCCTTCTTTGGTCTCTTGTCTTTCTTCTCGATAGTGATGAAATAGCTGCGAGTTATATAGCAATTATATAGCAACAATAGGCTTTGTAGTCAAGAGTTAATTTTTTGAATGTTGGATTTGACTTTCCTTTCGGACAGCCTCTCGATTTTCTCCCCCATGGGAAGTTTAACCTTTCCAGTTTGCCCCCCCTCTCTTCCCCCAGCTGTAAGGTACTTGGGTATTTCGGTGACTATCTATTGCAGATATTAACCCATCAATACGTGGGTTGGACCAACGTCATCCTCCTGGTACCAGCCACGAGTTCCTTTCCCTTTTTAACCTCTATCCCTCAAATTTGGTTTAGGGTGCTTCATCAATTCTTCACTTGATATTTTTCTTGGGTTATTATTATTATCAATTATTTTATCTATTGCCTACCAATATCTGGCTCTTTACTTGAAGTTTGAAACTATCGATCAGTAAGAGAACCTCTGCCAGCATTCATTCTTCAGGAAGGGAGTAACATGCTAAACCGTCCTTACCTGTTTTTATTACAGACATTATCCACTATCCTTTTTTTTTTCTTTTTTTTTTTCTCATTACTATTATTTTTATTCCCTTCCCAAAAATCCAAGGGCATCAATCCACCTGCCACTTATCTGGTTGTCTGTGCACTAAAACGATAGGCTTTCCATAATCCCATAAGCACTCTGAAGCCACCCAGTAACTATTTCGGAGCCTTGCAACGCTATCTCCACTACCGACTCCCCCCTTAAAAAAAAACGGAGGCTTCTTAGCCTGACACACAGCCGCGCTTGCATAACACCGTCCAGGAATGTGTCGTCGCTGCGACATTCAAGTCTGAACACCTCCAACACCGTGCGGACTCGCGCTCTCGTGTTTCTTTGATCGCTATTACCACTTCTTCGGGAAACCCCGTCAAGCGGACGCAAATTCTTTGTTCTTCCCTGTCCCTGTTCCTGTTCCCTTTATTTTTATTCTTTTTTAGCATCTTCATTATCGCTTTGGGATTAGCTAGCAAATTCGCCGACACCTACTCGTCCCCTTGGTACGCCGACCGCCCTCTTCAACACCGCTCAGACACACAAATCGAGAATCTTAGGCGAGCGTCTATTTTTTTTGACCACCTCTGTCACCACATCTTAGTCACCAGGAGCAACAGTTCGCATCGCTGTTCGGTCGAAATTGTCGTGGGAGGGGATAAGTAACAACCGGAGGGGGAGTCTCCATCTAACATGAGGGGCGGCGCAATCTGGTATGTGTGTGGTGACTTTATTTTTTTTTTTTCTTATTCGAGTCGAATCCTCAATCGACTGTTCACTATCTGCTCCCCTCAAGAGAGCTCATTTGCCCTGAGACTGCTGGCTATTCTTAGGGGAATGGTGTTGCAATGCTCTTTCCTGGGATGTAGTAGCTTTATCCAACAGATCCCTACCCATGATTTTGTACCCAGTGCACCGCTTCCCCTGCCGTGATTCTCTCAGGAACGCGTCTTGAATTTCCATCTAGCTAACCACTATGCGACTCTACATTAGAACCATCGCCCCGACATATCCTTGCAGAAAAGCAACAGCCCCCTTCAACTGTGCTCCGCGAGTCCAACATATCCGGAAATATTGGCCAAGGCTGGTCCGGTTCCAATCATTTCCTTATCAATATTCATACACCACTCAAATATCGGGTATTCGCATTTCTTTTGCCAAAGGAGCGCTAGGATATTTATGCTCCCCGAGACCAATTCTTCGTGGCTCTCTATCTGAAAAAGGAGTAAGTTCTAGAATCAGGAGCTTTGCCGGGAGCCGGATCATATCCAAATTTAGCACCATCCATGAGACTTTATGGATGCTAACCTTTTTTCGCCCCTAGGTCCTTTTTCATCGTCCACTTGTTGTCGCAGCCGATCCTTGACGTACACTATTATTTTTCCTCAGCCCAGACCGCGTTCCCGGTTCAACTTTTCAGGGTCACCTGCTGACCCGCGATTGACACTTAAGATGCCATCGAGACAGTCCACTGTTCCGAATTTAGATCTTAGCACTTCCACTCTGCAGGCGGATGCGAAGATCTCGTCTCCACTGACGCCCGGTGCCCAAAGCTCCGAGGGGCCAAGTCCCCTGACACCCCGTTCCCCCAAGTCATCATCGAGCTCGCCCTTTTTCAAAGGGGCCACTATCAGACCCGTCACACAAGATTCAAACAGCAAGTCGAGTAGCCCTACGTTCCCAGCAACCTCTCCGGGTATTGCCCCTGCGGAACCAGCTACTCCGGGTATCACGGCTATACCCCAGTATCCTCCTTCCCCGAAAGACACCCCTAAGCACACGCGTGATCAGTCACGCTCTTTCTTTGCGAACCTCAAAGCACCCAAGTCATCACATAGGGCCCAACGTTCGGATAGCTCAGGGAATTCGGGCGAAAAGCCCAAGAGCCGCGGTAGTTCCAGAGATCGCAAGACTCAGATCTCAACAAAACTCTACGAATCAACTCCTGATCTGCCAGGCGCTATTGAGCGGGCAGCTCAAGAAGAGAACCGTAAGTGAATACGTCCAGCCATACATCTGTCTCGTGCGCTGACAAGCCCATTCAATAGGTGGTGATCGTGCTGAGGAGAAGTGTCCCCAACCAGCAGAGGTGAAGAAGGTGGGTACGGAGTCGGACGCCTTCAATCTAGCCAAGAAGAACAAGCCACGCTTCGCAAACCTTCTCTCTCGCTCCCGCTCGATCAGGCTGGACGACTCGTCTATGAACAGGATAGCACATCGGCGCCCATCCACTAGCCTGATGAGGCTGGAAGAAAACACCCGGAGGGAGGTGCAAGAGCCCCCGAAGACTGCCCCACGTCATGAGCGCAATATAAGGACGGCTGGGAATCCTACGGCTCGCAGTTATCCCGCCGACCGACCCGCAGAATATCATAACGGCCACATGCGTAAAGATAAATACTATGCTGGATCGATGGTTCCGTCCGCCTCACTAAGCCAGGTGTCAGGCGCATCCGCTGCGCTATTCAATAACCTCAAACAACAGTCAAGTGGTGCCGCTGATCGTATCGGTAAGGCTGGGAAGGGTTTCTTCGGCAAGATTACCAGGAGCGGGAGCACAAACGAGCGGGAGCTCGTGAATGACGACAATTATGTTTGCTCAGTCATCAATCTGCCACTCATACAACAGGCAAGGCGGACTCGTATCGCAAAGCGACTTGAAGATTGTAGAGACAAAACCGAGTTCTGGATGCCTGCTCTGCCTTACCGCTGCGTCGAGTAAGCAATATCATGAACCTGCAGGTTGGAATGGATGTGCTAACGACGTGCTAGCTACCTCAATTTCAAGGGATGTGAAGAAGAGGGACTCTACCGAGTCCCGGGAAGTGGGAAAGAGGTGAAACACTGGCAAAGACGTTTCGATACAGGTACCTCTCTTTTTGCTAACTCTGGTTCTCTCTGATCGAGTCTGACGTTTCCATTCAGAACTTGACATCAACCTTTTCGATGTGCCAGACCTCTATGATATTAACACTATTGGCTCGATGTTCAAGGCCTGGCTTCGTGAATTGCCAGATGAGCTCTTCCCCAAGGAGACACAAGCCTTAATCGCTGAGAAATGCGAGGGTGCAACGACCGCGCCACAAATGCTGAAAGATGAACTTTCCAAGTTACCGCCTTATAACTATTACCTTCTTTTCGCCATCACCTGTCACCTAAACCTCCTGCACTCCTATGTTGACCAGAACAAAATGGACTACCGCAACCTTTGCATTTGCTTCCAGCCTTGCATGAAGATTGATGCATTCTGCTTCCACTTCCTGGTCTGCGACTGGAAGAACTGCTGGCAAGGCTGCTGGACAGAGAAAGAATATCTTCAAATTGAGAAGGAAATGGATGAAAAGGAAAAGGCGGCCCAGGAGAAGGATGAAGCAGTCCACGATTGTCAGCAAGTCCAACAACCTCAGCAAATACAGCAAATTCAGCAATTCCAGCAACACCAGCAACCTCATCAAACTCAAGAGAGCCACGAGAGGGCTGTCTCTTCCGGTAGCAGCCAACCTGGACAGGAAGAAGAGCCACCGCGCCCCGAAGTACCGAAGAACCGCAAGCAGAGACCAAAGAACATTGAGACCTCGCATACGAGAAGCATATCACAGCTTCCCGAACTCGGCCCCCCACTTTCCCCGATCCAGATCTAAACAACATTCCATATAGAGCTCTAACCAGCGATATTCCGATACGCTGGTATCCCCAACATCACATATCCTTGCCCGACTAGGCTGGCCTACATGCTCGAAATTCTACTTCACCATGTGTAGGGCCTGGGACTGGATCCGCAGGTCGTGCACGATGAGTGAGATTATACCTTTCGATTGTGATCCGGCTCATACTCCATTTCCCAATCTCTTGCTCTAGACGTTGGCGCATACATGAACTTTCAGCTTTTCATCTTTATGCCTTCACCAGTTTTAGTTCCGCGACGACTTCCCAGCTATATCGGGCCACCATCAGACTGCATGCCTGGCGCCTTGGAGTCGGTTCAGTTAAGGCCTACATGACGCTTTGACTTTTGTTGTACAAATCTTTCTCTTCGTTTTCTCTTTCCGTCGTTGCTCGATCACATTTCCACTTCTTGGCACCGTTGGCGACATATCACCTTTATAGCCTTTTCTTGTTCTTTTGGAATCATCATATGCATGTTCTTTCCTTATCTCATTTCCTACAGGCTTATTCATCTATTGATTCCCCACTTGAGCTGTGTTACGGTGCGTTTCCCCCGAATTTGGCGACTCATGACACTTTTTGGTCCTTGCTTTGTACTATTTCTCAATTCTTTGGCGTATATTGGTACATAGCTGTAAGATAGACCAATGACAGGCGATGCATCAATTTGAAGAGAAATTGGAATTAGTATTATATGGCTGGATGGTCTATTTGTATTTGAAAATAAAGTATAGAGGCGTATCTACAAGTGAAACAGTAGTACAGATGAAGTCAAGTAGTATCCCCAATTATGGTGCGGACCCCATAGAAGATCGAGAGATAAGACAAATACTTAAAGGGGGTAGTAAAATGTGATATTGCTTTTCGAGCCCGGCGAGACGAACAAGTCCCAAACCAAAGGCAACATTGACAGACATCCAAGCCCAGCGACTCCAAACCGAACGCCGTAACATTTGAGCCCCAGGTGAAAGAACGAAAAATTAAAACCAAGGCAAGATCCGCAGAAACTTGTTATACGGCCTCGACTCTTGACAAAAATCGTTATCAGACACAACAACAACGACGACACACACAGCACATAATACACATCATCGGTCTTTTTTTGTTTCTTTAACCACCACCCGACTTCCGGCTCTTGCGCTCATTCGCTCTCATTTTCCTCTCGTTGCGGCGTATCCTGTCTTTGCGTTCGGCACGAGATAATCCACGGATCGAGCTTCCCTTAGCGGCCGCCTCTTCTTCCTTCTTCCAATCCTTCTCGTTCACCTCAACAAGCCATTCATCATCGGACTTGTTCTTGCCCTTGTAACCCCAGCGAGGAACCCACTCGCCCTTCTCCTCATCGTACACCAACTTCTTGCGACGCTCCTTGTCGGCCAATGCCGCGCCAGGCCGGCTGCTGTATTTGCCAATACCCTTCTTGCGGGCGAACAGCTCCCACTTGGTCGGGGGCTTGGGGGTGGGAAGGGGCTTGAAGCGAGGGAGAACGGTGGTGGGAGGTGGGAGAGTCAGGAGGACACCCTGTTGGGAGGAGGTGATGGGGCAGGTGGTCAGGAGCTGGTTGAGAAGAGACTGGGTGCCATCCCGGGCTGTGGCCTTGAGACTGACATCCAAGGGTTCGGAGCGGGAGATCTCGAGAGGGTTGGGGTCGTTCGCAAGCAGATGACCGAGGTCGAATGTGTAAGGGGTGGGCTTGGAGACAGTCACGGGGCTGATAGTATCATCATTGACGAATTAGTATGTGTGTTTGTTCAAGTTCAACGGAGTTTATATGTATAGATGATAATCTTTCCCCACGCAAATGGGGAGGTGGATTCGACTTACAGTCTCTCCGGCTTGGGCTTGGAGTCGGTAGACGCCATGTTGTACTTCTGTCGCGCAACTGGCGAACAAGATACTCTGGGAATTGAGGTTGAGAGTATCACACAGGGACTCCGAAAAAAGAATGGAGAACTGGGCGCAAAGGAAACAAGTGATTTGACCGATCGGGTAAAGAGGAAAAAAAAAGTTCGGGAGATAAAATCGCCATGCTGCTTTTAGGCATGTCACACCGCCTGCGGTCCAGCGGCACTGACACTAGTCTCGAACGGGCAAGGGAGGAGGAATCTGAGTCGAGGCTCCAAAATGTGCTCCGAATTTCAATCCATTCCATGTCTTTGGGCGACTCCTCCTCCGCGCAATCCTCCGCTCCCACCCCCCATCCCCGCCGCAATCAATCCCAATTGACCGATTAGGACGCTGGCCACAGCGCCAGTGTGTATCGCAGCGCGATGGTTTCCTCCTTCTGCTGGAGCTGCCTTACGCGGCTTCCTACCGCTCCCCGAGCTATCCTCCCGCCGACATTAACAGCACAGCGAGTAGCAGCATTCCACTCGTCAACGCCGCTCCTCGCGGGAGCTAAGAAGAAGGGCGATTTACCGGTTGCCAAGTACCGTCAAGCCAAATCCGCCAAAATGAAGAAGAAGAAGCCCGTCGAGAGGACGCGTCCTCCGGCTGTCGGAGAACGCAGAGCGCTCCGCAAACGCATCGTCCTCAGCAACCCTAACGCTCTTGAAGTCGAAGGCATGCAGGACCTCTCTGCCGAAAACATGGTGGATGCGCGCCTTCGTGGCTCCATCCTGGGTCTTCCTGTGCCCATGCTCGATCAATTGAGGGCTGTCCAGGCCTTCAAGCCCAAGCAGGGCTGGTCTATATTCCGTCGGCCGGGAACGGTGGTGAGGCGTGAGACGCTCGAGCTGGGAAGACTCATTGATGGTATCTCCGCTGAGGAGGGTGAGAACAAGGGAAAGGTCGTCAGGAAGATCATCACCGGTGTGAAGGGCTCCGGAAAGTCCGTCCACATGCTGCAGGCCATGTCTATGGCTTTCACCAAGGAGTGGGTTGTGATCACGGTTCCTGAAGGTGAGACCGTCACTCATGCACTGATATGCAGCTACGCAAACAATACTAACAACTTCCCTAGCCCAGGATCTCGTCATTGCCAACACCGCCTACGCACCCCTCTCCGATGAGAACCCGAACGTTTACGTCCAGAACGATGCCACCGCCGCTCTCCTGTCTCGCATCGTCACCGCAAACCAGAAGGTTCTGTCCAAGTTGACCGTCTCCCAGCCCCATCCCTCTCTGAAGACGGCTGTCAAGCCCGGCATGACCCTCGAGGCTCTCGCCAAGCCCGGTATCCAGGACCCCGCTGTCGCATGGAGCGTCTTCCAGGCCCTGTGGACCGAACTCACCGCCACGGCCCCGGCCGCCGGCTTCGAGAAGGGCTTCAAGCCCCGTCCTCCCATGCTCGTGACCCTGGACAACCTGGCCCACTGGATGAAGGAGACCAAGTACAACAACATCGACTGCAAGCCCATCCACGCCCACGACCTCGTCTTCGTCCAGCACTTCCTCTCCCTCCTGAAGCCCAGCACCGAGGCCGGCAAGCCCTCCCTCCCCAACGGCGGTGTCATCCTCTACGCCACCTCCGGCTCCAACAGCCCCACCATCTACGGCTTCGAAGTCGCTCTCCAGCAGCTCGCTGCCCGCCAGGCCGGCATTAAGCCCTCCTCTCCGGAATTCCCTCAACCCGACCCCTACCTCAACGCAGACAAGCGCGTCCTCGCCGTCTTCAACGACTCCGCTTCTACCAAGTCTCCCGCCGCCAAGGACGGCTCTCTCGAGATTCAGACCATCGGCGGTCTCACTCGTGACGAGGCCCAGGGCTTCATGGAATACTTCGCCCGCAGCGGTCTCCTCCGTGAGAACATCACCGACGCCTGGGTTGGCGAGAAGTGGAGTCTGGCCGGTGGAGGCGTTATCGGTGAGCTCGAGAAGCTCGGTAGACGGTTGAGAGTCATTGCTTAATGGTCTATCTATCTGTCTGTCTGATTTCCATCTCCCCATGGCGTGCATTAGAGACTCTGTATGTGTATGTAAAGATTATACTGGCTTGCCATGTGCTTTCCCATTGTTGTCTTCTTTCTATCTCCCCATTTCTCTTTTTCCCTGTGACCTCCCTCCATCCTGCTGTGCCAATGGATGGATTGGTTTCGAGACATCTATCTATCTATGCCTCTGTATTGTATTTTATCTTACTATCTTGATCATTTTGGGCTTCCTGCGCGTTCGTCTTCGTCCCTCTGTTCTGTTCTGTCTGTATGCATATAATGAAATATCGAAAATATGTGCTACTCTCCCTTAAGCTGTCTAGGTGGTGTACCCGTCTTAGGTTGTTTGGTATATTATCTCGGCTATTCTTTTTAGATATTTATGAGGCCGTTCAGGAAAGTATGCATCGTATGTGCATAGTATACTATAACACTATAACAAGAGAGGGGATTGAAAATTAATAGTCGGAATGAAAGTTAAACGGTACTGTCCAATGCGGAGAGAGTAATCAAGAAACAACAGATCACACGCCATGTACACGAAGCAATTCGAAGAGTAGTGTAGCGGGGATGGCTCATGGGTCAAATATCAACTAATCATGACATAAAGTGTATAGGTATATAAAGAATAGAAACAAACAGACTATATCACCAAGATCCTATCTGTACTCCTTTGTCATGATGGTTTCGCTTCTTTCTTCTGTCGCGTACTTTCAGGTCGCTTGTTTCTTGTTAGGTGGGTGGTATATATTTTTCATCGAGATGAGGCCCGCCACAGTTGCAAGGTCCTCCGAGAGCACGCTCCAGAGTGCTAGTGGAGACACCCGTATCGAGAGTGTGAAAATACGGGATGCGGATCTCATCACCTTTCTTGATGTCTTTGAATGACCACAAGATGATCAGATTAGGGTTCTCGTCGCCGTAGTAGGCCCAGCTGGCGTTGTACCTAGTAGGACACGCATGGTTGAACAGACTATGTCCAGGATATAAATATAGTTTGGAGAAAGTGGGCCAAAAATTTGGTAAATTATCAGTCGTCAGGTTAGCTTCCAGTTTTGGAAAGGGTTTACTCCTGATAATGTTCGTCTTTTGGAGACGCTTAC